GTCCATGTGTTCTACTATGTCGCTCTAATAATTCGCTGGAGCAGTTTACCCACCATTGATGTTATGCTTATGGGCCTAAAGTTTCCTGCGTCTTTCTTGTCCCCCTTTTTAAAAATTGGTGTGACATTTGCTTGTTTCCAGGAATTCAAAAGACAATTTTATGCAATAGATTTTTCAAAAAATCATTTTAAAGGGCCCTTTATTTGGTCTGCAATTTCCTTTAGAAATTAGGTATGTATGTTGTCAGGACCAGCAGCTTTGTTTGCTTTCAATCTGTCAATAGCTTTAACTATTTTGTCTAAGGGCTTAGTCATAAACAAATATAAACTTCCAACTGTCAAGGGTATAATTATATTGTCCAACATATCTGATTTTAAAGTGAACGTGCACATGTACTATTTTAAGACAAGGAGTCACAGAATGCGCGTATATGCGCAGTCATGAATCATGTATTTTTAGGCCATGTCCATGCGGCAAACTGAAATAGGTGCTCAGCATACATGTACCTTACGCGCCATACCTCTTTATAAAGGGTAATTTTACTTTTCTTTTTTTCACAATTATATTTTTTTCATAAATCTGTTTTTTTTATACACAGGAATGAAGCGGATGTTCTGCTTTGGATATCCAATTATTTAAAATGGCAGAAAATCTATAGCTAAAACACTTAAATAAGGGTAGGAATGGTTGCTGGAAACATGTTAAGGCCTATATAAGAAAGCATGACTTCAAGCGGAGATACTTATTTCAGCAGGTTATAATTACCGTAAATAATTTTGGTTTAATTTTCTACATATCAAATGCATCTGATCAAATTCAAAATAGTTGACATTTTTATACAGCAAAATCTGACTAAGAGTATAAATTTCTTCATCTGGTTTAGCCCACGTGATTGTTATTCCATTTTAGTTCCATCCGGGACAGATGTTGCAAAGGTCATATCAAAATTAAAGTGTCACTTTTATCTGCCAGCGGCGTTACAAAATTACTAAAACTAGACCATTGAAGCTTGGACAATAGGTGCAGCTTGGCTTCGTCATTGCAATACATGCATTAGGTACACAATGTGGCCCACATTTCCTGGTCCAGTGACTGCTAAATTATCCTCATAAGTGTTATGTTTTATTACATATATTGCTGTGTGTAAGTGTTGTATCTCAAATATAAAAATAAAGAGAAGTAATGATGAAGAGAAATAAATATAAAAATACAGCGGGCCATACATGTGTCGGGATACGAACCCTGTACTTCAGATTGTTATACAATCGCTCTGACCGATTGAGCTTTCCGATCGTACAGTTAAAGCTAAACAGAAGTTAAGGGTAGATAACTATAAAAGGACAAAACCACATGTATAAAAGGACGGGGAATCCCGGATCCTTAGCCAGTCCGGCGGAAGGAACTATAAAGGTGTCCCGTGTGGGAAGGTCCAACCTGCACGTAAAAGGCCCCTTTGTGTATTGTCGTAAGAGTAGGCGCGTTAACGCCAGCACAAAGGATAGGAATAGGTTAGATAAAATTATTTTATTAAGATGATTAGACGGACTTCCAAAATATAGAACCAAAACTAGCCAACATAGAATAGGATAGGGTAACAGGACAGCCTGGATATGGTAGGCACGCCCTACTCCTACATCCGCGCCGTACTAGACATCTAGATACGATACGGTTAGCGACAACACAACACATTTACCAACTATTTGGACCAAGGAGTCGTCTCCCAAAATTTCACTAAAACTATAAGGATAGGATATAGTATAGGCGAGTAGTTTTTGTTTTTTGTTCTGATTCTCATATAACTATTGGTTGCTAAAGATGCAAACCATCTTTCCATGGAATTGTTGTTACTATAGCAAATACAAAATAAAACTGTGTATTATGACACACTGAGTAATTCAACCAATATGTCGGATTGCACAGGGTGTCAAATACGACAGGTTTCATTGTACCGACACACTTCACCAATGGTAATGTTTAATTTTGCAAGTTTATCACGCACAAGCAAAACAAGTTGTGAAAATTGTGAATAGACCTATTGTTATCTTGATTATCAATGTATACGATCTTGTTTTCAGTATACATGATCGCCATCTTGATTCAGCACTGCATGCTTGATTACCTCCCTTTGTTGAATGAATCGTGAACAAGTTAATACAAACAAATCACTTCTTTTCCTGATTCTGATTGCCCCAAACACTCAATTAAAAGGGAAATTAGATAGAATAGACGAATATCATGAAAGATTACCCCACCCCCCACCCCCACCCCCCGTTGCCAATTATGTTGTTTCTTTTCAATTTTACTTATGAACGTGTTACTCCACAGAACCTTTGATCGCTGACCCCGTAAACATACTCCCATATCTTAGAAGTTTGGTTATTGTCCATAATGTGCTTATGATGGTGACTGGCATATCTCTCCAGGTCCAACATTTTCCTTTATGGAAATATTATATCATTCATTGTAACTTTTGCTACATGTAACATACATGTACGTATGTTTACAGTAACCTCCTTGTAGCTGGGGCTATTCTAAATCAAAACAAAGACAAATGTAAAGGTGTTTTAACAAAAACACAATACAAAGACATGGGTTTTGGCGTAAATGGCTCACCCAAACAATGGGCCGCCAACTTTATTATTTGTTTTGTTTTTTATTTTAATTCTCTTTTAAATAATTTCTCTTTCATATTTAGTTTTCTGCTATTCTTAGACTTCTATATTAGAAATGAAATACCTTTTTGAAAAGAGCCATACCCCAAAACCACCAAAGATAGATAAGAACCTGCTGGAGAGCAGGCTACCCAATTGACCCTTATCCCCATTTAGGAGGAGGGAGGTAGGTTTTCTTTAGGCTCTGACCAGCTGGCAGTGTTGTCTCACCTCTGATCGTGCCCAGTTACATGTTAACAGAGTCCAGGGCTTTAACCATTAATGGGATAATGTCCCTAATCTCAGTACCTATTACCAGAAAACAATTTAATGTATGGCGTCTGATTCTCACTATGTAATATTCCACAAAATTGCACAGAATAAGGTCATGAACATGTACATGAACACTGGCTATTATAACTGATATAGCAGGTGTAATTGAAAAGCATGACACGGATTACATGAAGACTGTCTTGTTGGTACAGTTTTAATAAATGTCCTCCTATACCATTTGGAGCATTCCTCCTTCACAAGTTACAAATTCAGCAGCATTTTGGTGTGCAGGCAGGTAGAGATGCTGTAGTTACCAAGTACTTGGGACACATCGTGCTGTAATGTAAAATAAGAGTGATTGTAAAAATCATTGTTTATCAGTAGCTGATGAAAAGACAACTAGTGTTTAATTCTTTACTCAGGTTCACATACCCATCATAACAAAAATGCATAAGGTGAAAGTGATAAATAAGACTTAAAGTCTTTATCTTTATTTAAATTTATTTAAATTTGTTACTGTTGAGTATTACGTCACCCGAAACAAGTATACATTTATGCTTATAAGTAACGGACAATTTGGACGTAAACTTTACTATTCGCAAAAGGATATCTCCACTTTATAACCCCAAATACGAATAGTGGGAATAAAGAGATTTATATATTAATGAGAACAGGATTTCCCCTTGGGTCTGGTCATACCTGGGATTTTAGACGCTGTGTCAAAGCACGAAAACAACATCCCTACTCTATAATATGCGTCCTGTGAGGATGCCTCTGACGAATATTGTTTCTGGACTGATTTTGAGACGACTTTTATCGAACAAGTATATGATTGCTTACAAAAACACTAGACCGGTGAAATCCAATCTGATCACAAGGAAACTTGTTGCTTTACTTGGATGCAATATATGTGGCTCAGTTTTGAGGGTGACAGGTTTCGGATCAATCAGGTCTGTTGCATGTTTTTCATCCGTTCAACTGATGTACATTCTTTCTACGGTGTTGCAGTGGTAACTTTCCTTTGTAAGCGACGTTACCATGCTCTAGTCTGTTGTGGCGATGCCCCTGTGTATTATTATGAGTGGTGGTAACAAGCTTTAGTCTGTCGTGGCGATGTCTCTGTGTATTCTGTGTAAGCGATGATACCAAGCTTTAATCTGTTGTGGCGATGAGTATTCTGTGTAAGCGATTGTACCAAGCTCTAGTCTGTCATGGCGATGTCCCTGTTTATTCTGTGTGAGTGGTGGTAACAAGCTCTAGTCTATCGTGGCGATGTCCATGTGTATTCTGTACAAGCGTTGGTACCAGGCTCTAGTTTGATGTGACGATGTTCCTGTGTATTCTGTGTAAGCGGTTATACCAAGTTCTAGTATGTCGTGGCGATGTCCCTGTGTTTTCTGTGTAAGCGATGGTACGAAGCTCTAGTTTCTTGTGGCGACGTCCCTGTGTATTATGTGTAAGCGATGGTACGAAGCTTTAGTCTGCTGTGGCGATGTCCCTGTGTATTTTGTGTAAGCGATGGTACCAAGCTCTAGTTTGTCGTGGCGACGTCCCTGTGTATTCTGTGTAAGTGATGGTACCAAGCTCTAGTTTGTCGTGGCGATGTCTCTTTGTATTCTGTGTGAGTGGTGGTACCTAGATTTCTTCTGAATTTGTCAGAACTGCTTTGTAGAAATTGAAACTTAAATAAGGTAGAGAAAGTAGATTCACTTTTGTATGTCCAACAATATATCTGTATGTTTTGTCTGTCACATTAATGTAAGTCTAACGATACATATGTCCTTATTCTTCAACGTGGCTACTGCACAATACATGTATATTTATATGATTATTTCATTTTTAGCGTATACTAATTAAATACTTAAAACGCTTTATTCTCGCGACCGTTTCATGTAGCGAGTTAAAGCGAAAATTGATATCTCACAAAAAAATCGTTATTGACAGTATGCATAAGAGATTCAATGAGAAGATAAGGAAACCCCAATTGTATTTTAGTAGCTAGTATGACCCTTAACACACACTAATTGCCTTCCCATCGGCAGTCCGAATCTCGTGACCAAGTACTCACTTCCGGTGCACATATAAGCATATCTCTGGATGTCACTGACAATATAATTCGTCACTCGCCATGGATGGTTATTATATTGTGTCTGTTTTGGTTTCGCTGGCGTTCTATGGACAATGTAAGTATACAACATATATAAATTCATTATTTTTGAACATGTAAGCATATGCGTCCATGAAGGTTTAAGCCTTTGTTATCGAATTTCAGCGTATGTGAAATATCGTAATTGTCTGAAAAATGCCTACATCATGTCTCGTTATACAGAATATTATTATAATGGTGTGAACTTACATGAATATAACGAGTTGAAATTTCAAACAATGACGTCACAATGAGAAAGAAATGACGTCGTAAACATCAGAGTGATTTTATCAGATATATCCATGCTACAAATTAAAAAATCTTTTTAATAGTTTTAAAGAATTTAGTAATAGCTCGCCAAAGACAGCAAAATTAATTAAAAAACGGTTTTGTCAATGCCATATCAAACGGAAACGCAATGGAGGGGGGAGAGCTGCTGAGGTGCTCACACAAAAAACCGTTACACCAGATCATGTATCTGTGCCTGGAGTTGTGTAACAAGTTGTTCTACGTATAATTTCGTTAACTTAAATACGGTTCACCGACTACACGGAATCACGTGATATCTCCTGACGTCGTTCAAATGATATGTTAAAATGCGGACGAGCATTTCCCCGAAAAGCTACAATATAAACTGATCGCGCGCAGATAAACTTAATCAAAAGCTTAATGATCCCCGTACCACTGACAAAAACTGTAATTATACATTAGAAACATTTTTTTCTGGCATGACTATAGCTTTGATAAATAATTTATGAAAATATAGAGAATATCTTACAGCGTCTTCAGTAATACCGAATATATTTTACGAGTGTGGCCAATATTTGGACAGATAAATGCCTACTTATAAAGTGTATTTTTATATCAAGCAATTCCAGCATTCTTATGCGTACTCGAATTAAAGAGCTGTATCATGTTACGCTATACCACAGAGGCCAAACAAACTTATACGTACCAATATCAGTGTCGTGGTTAGGCCAAATAATGTATGTTTCAGGTAACTTTACTGAGAAAAATGGGGTAAGTCGGTAGTGATTTAGTTTTATTTCTATATTTTTATTGTGAGGAGCATCATTTAAGAAATTACAAAAGTCACCAAACATAGTTATTCGGACCAACTGTATTCATTTTTCATTATATTTTTTGGTCTTTAAATTACATTGTGGGGTTTAAGTTTGATTTTGATACCTGGCTGTGAAATACACGAAGAAAGTTGTAGTGATTATGCTTACGATTTTCATTGCGTTTGAATGGGACGTTTAAGAGCATTCAAGTGAGATAAAATTGCGAGGGTCGGAGGTTAAAACTAGAGTCGGTTGGGGTACCTGAAACATACATAAAATTTGTTTGGCCTTATATTACACACACATGTACTGTGCTCAAAAATCCATGAAGTAACACCCTACCCTGTGAAATTTACTTGGTATATAACTACAGAACATTTGGGCTGGGGCACTACCGTTGCTTGCCCCTGCAGGTCAGGGATCGAGAAAAGAATTTACCTACTGTTACATGTACCCATTACATGTTACGTAAGAGGCGATTAATGAGGGAACCCCTGCAGAATTGGGGATTTGCTTCTGTGCCCTCTTCTTGGGGATACAAAAGTGACCAAAATAAATCAGCTGCATCCATTGCAAGATTATGGATATTTTTATATCTTTAACCTCCTTTTATTTACTAGCGTTTTGCTTGACAACATCTCACTTTTTTGCTTTAATGCTGAACGTTCGTCCAGGTGAGGAAGGCAATGGGTTCTGTCCCCGGGCCGGGGCATACCGAAGTCCTTAAAAATGATGGTTGATATTCCCTGCTTAACGTTCAGCATTAAGGGTAATGACAACAACTGGTTCACCCGTTGTCGGTATGATGTGACCGGGTGGAATGCTTTCGGCATGGTATTTCAGAGATCTGTAGTTAACATTTTTTACATGTGAACTACATGCTTATAAGTAACGGACAATTTGGACGTAAACTTTACTATTCGCAAAAGGATATCTCCACTTTATAACCCCAAATACGAAAAGTGGGAATACAGAGATTTATATATCAATGAGAACAGGATTTCCCCTTGGGTCTGGCCATACCTGTGATTTTAGACGCTGTGTCAAAGCACGAAAACAACATCCCTACTAATATGCGTCCTGTGAGGATGCCTCTGACGAATATTGTTTCTGGACAGATTTTGACACAACTTTTATCGAAATTTATCGAACAAGTATATAATTGCTTACAAAAATACTAGACCGGTGAATTTTCTTGCTAGATCTTACATATTAAAAGAATTTTAACTGAATGGATGATTGCGGGAACTAACAACTAAACATCTAAATGTTTAATGGGAGAGTTCCCTTCATACAAAACATGTGCAGGTGTTTTATACATTTAAGTTCCAGTTTGATTCCCTTTGTGCATACCGGAAGTTCATTGTTTTTCAAAGTCCATATCCATATATTCCTCCAATGGGATTTAGAAAGAGCTTTGAATAGTGGCACAGTTCATAATATACACACTTTTCTTATTATTCAATTTGAAATTAACCAGCGTCCTCTAAATTTGAAAATTCATAAATTAAGGCGCTTTACGCTACCGCCCCTCTGTTTCTCCAGTAGTTTAGACAATTTAAACGTTCAACTTTTTGACCCCCAGCATTACCTATGGATGAAACAGCTGTATGATGCAGTGTGACTCATTTTTGGCTTGCGGCGTTACTGAATTTTACAAATGTATCACATGTATTTGTGTTATACGTTTATCTTTCTATCCACTATCAAGTCGGCATCAGATCCGCGCTATCACAAGAGGCAATTACACAAACCTACCCTGTCTCCGGCCCACATACACACATGCAAGCTCACACAACACACATATGGAGACACGTCCTTAAATGACGTTAGCTGTTAATAGGACGTTAAACACAATAAAACCAAACCAACCAATCATCTTTCTATCCAATTTTATAAAAAGATCGCTTACATCAGTCATGGCGGTACATTGCATGCCGATACAAAGATCTCTACTGTTACAGTTTAGGTTTTTGTTCAGGGTAACCCGGATGTATACTTCGTACGTATATATAACTATACACAGATTCAAATGAGTAAAGTTGGGAGCAAACTTAACTTGGTATCTAGTGCACTTTGTGGTGCACATGTAGTGAACATGGTAGTACACTTGACAAAACATTGTAGTACACTCCAGTTCACTTCAGTGTTAATTCAGTGCACAACGATGTAAACGCCAGCGCACTACAGTACTTACCCAAGCTAAAAAAAACCTGAAGAGCATATTTCAATTATGTATTTATAATGAATGGGTTCTTTCATGATATGAATATATAATGAATAAGGAAAAAATGTTTAACTGAGTATTACATTATATTAAAAACTCTTTTTTCTGATTATTTTATCGTTCAACTGGGTATATGTAAAAAAGAAACTGTGCTTCCTAATTGTTCTATACATAAGCAAAACGTGTCAAATCACTTGAATTGTAAATATGCACGTATTTGTAAACATATTTAATATAAACTGAAGTAGGGTTGTGTAATACACGCGTATCTCGGGATTCCCACCATTCTTCTTCAGTCAAGGGTCAGAAACATCCGGTCACACACTGTTAACATGTTTACGTAATACAACATTGAGTCGTGGATGGATTTGACAATTAATTACGTAAGATCCTGTTATAGACTAAGGCGTTAAGGAAGCTCCGTCCTTTCGAAATTAACCAGCTTTATAGTTATGCAACTATGTAGAGAGTATTATATGAGAATGAAAACATTCCAGAAGAACGAGGATTTGTTTATCCCCTTTCCCCTCTAAAAAACCTCATATATTTTCAATTTGTTTGGGTGTGTGGCATCGCTCGGAACTATAACAATAATAACAAAATATAAAGGAAACATTGCTTAACCCAACCAATATTTGTTTTACCACAAAATATACAAAACAGGTTGCACAAGGTTTTTCTATTGAATTTATTTTACATTGATTCTTTTTTATTTCGGAGTTGTCTTCCTTGAAAAAAAATCGGATTTTATTTGCAGAGGGATAACCTTTTTTTAACAATTACAGTTATCTCTCTACAAATATATATATAAAAAAAAACATTTGGAATTGAAGTAACATTATGATATCAAAATTTTCCCTTTGACATAATTGTACATATAAGCTGAAACAGAGTTTAACAAATACACGCATTGTGCATGTCTGATGTGCTCTTGAGTTTATTTTTGCTGATACAGGAAAAGGGTATGCTTTTACATAATGACAATAAAAATCGCCTCGTATGAAAATAATTCATATCCTTATGGTATAATATGTAAACATGTCGGGTATATGTACATGTAACCAGAGGCTATCGCGTGGTTTGTGGTTCTCATGTGCAACCCACGAATACATTTTCATAGGGGTTTTATGTCTCATGTTTTACAAAACACTGTATTTTCACAGAGTTTAGTGCACTTATATTGTACTCGCTCGACAGCAAATATCGTAACGACCTTGTAAACTGGTGTAAGCACTTGATATGTACATGTGAGGCCGTACATGTAGTGATCTGGAAGGATTTTAGGAAGACTTAAGGTTTAAAACACTTTTAAATGTTCACACTTGACTTTTTTGAAAAAGTCACTTCATTTAAGGGAATTAACAAGAATGTTCGTTTGAGCACAGAATTCATGCTTGAGCTTGGATGAATTATAATAAACAGTGTTATTAATGCCGTCTGTGTCGGAGAAGATCACTTCCACGATCTCACATTAAACATCTTAATTGAAAATATTAATCAAATTAAAACTTGCCATCTTGTAAATATATATTTTATTATGCTATTAAGAAAAGCTTTATATAAGTTGACAACTTGTGCCCCATCCCTTTTGTATATTAGATGCAAATAAATGATATGTTTAAATCAAAGTTCAGAATTGAGCGTTCATTTAGACGTGGATTCAGTACACTTACTTTTTGTAAAATGTTTAGATCGCCAGTTGATACATGTACGTGTATAGTTGGATCATATTTGTATTGAGATTTCGAAAATAAGCATGCTAAAGGAGTATTCTACTATCACCTAATTCAGGTATTGTACAAATGTAGTAGTTGTTCGTACATGTATTTGAAGAGCTTTTAAGCGATGGGATTAGCACCATTCACAGTAAAACATGTTATGATTGAATGCGCTGATTTGCAACAAATACTTGACACCCACAAGGTGCTGCACAATGAGCCTTCGATTTTGCTATGACATATTCCAGGAGAATCGAGGATGCTATTTGGAGTACTGCAGCTTTAGAAGAAATTGTAGTGTAGGATATTACAGGTAGGATTGGAAAAGAATACAAAATGAGAAAATCATATTGTACATTTGTTTAACAGGCAGTGGTCAGCGATGTCCAACAGACTGGATGGACGGTCCGTTGAAAACAAACTGTTACTATTTCGGAGTGGGCGTGCCCAGGAAAACATGGTTTGCTGCTCGGGATCACTGCCAGTCATTTCAGGCTGACCTTGCCAAAATTGATGACGTCCTAGAAAAGGTGAATAATTTCGTTCTTTTTTGTGTGTGACGTAATAATCAAATGACGCGCCATTGATGCTTCGTGTTCGTACAAAAAGTGTTATTGAAACTCCTTTCACTAAAAATTACTTGTATTTAAAAAGAAAATATCTGTCCATTTTCAAAAGAATTTCCCTGCGAATAATAAATCATTCTTTTGATCACAACAAGAGTTAATAGGAAATGTATACGCGTCCCACTCGCAGAATTGTCGTTCCTTACTCTAGTGCTAAACTTGTACATATTTCGAATTTTCTTTCGATGACGTTTCATTTTTCATTTACCTGTTCCTAGAATTGGCTGCTTGAGAAAATCAAACAGTTGTCAAGTACGTACCCCGGGGAACAGGAGTTCTGGCTCGGGCTCACAAACACGGGGGAAAACGAAACAATCTGGAGCTGGCCCGACGGATCGGCCCTCCCCGACAATCTCCTGTAAGTTTCGTTGATGACTTACGCAACTAAATTATTTATTATATGTTTTTACTAAATGTCCGACCTGGTAGCTTTAATGTTTAAAGTTCAACACCAGTGACAGCTATCTATCTTCATAGATACATACCTGACAAAGCATTCAAAGGGCATTTTTGACAGGTTTAATGGCATCAAGAGTGTCATCGCCACCGGAAGATGACAACCGGAAGTTTACAAGAAGAGCCGTAGATCCAAAACAAAAACGCCGATGGGTGTCTGCCCCTGTGCAAATCCACAAACAGATATTGAAAACAAAATTGTATATCCAAATTATACGTTTTTCACTCACCAGTATGTCATCCTTGATCATTAAAATTCCCCAGAGGCTCTGTAATTAACCGGATCTAATTTTAGATTAGAATTCAAACGGAACCATTTTGTTTTTAATTTTCTGTTTTGTTTGTTTATATTTTTGATTTTGGTTATTTTCATCTGTTTATTTTTATTTTCATATGTTTCTTTCTTTTCATTTGTTTTGTTTATTTATTTGTTTTAATGTCGTACGAAAAAATGTACAATCACACATATATATATATATGTTCTACAATAATTGGGTTGTATAGGCGGTGGGGATCAGGGGAGCCAAGCGATCCAGTCACAGAGAGGTGTGCCGAGATCTGGGATAACCTGCTCAACGACAAATCATGTCTGACGCCAATTGAGTATGTCTGCGAGCGATCCAAATGTGAGTATGTACTCATCTGAGTACAGGCCCCGTTCAGGTTCTTTGATGTGAATTGAGCACATATAATAACAATAATAAACCATTAAATGCAAGTTTTCACACCTGGATACATTTTGTGTAATTTGTTAGTGACCTTGATGTAAAATCATTGCATACACATGAAAGCTGTGGAATCTAATTGCAAGTTTTGACAATTGAGCACGCCTTGAAGCGATGTTAAATATGGATCTATTGAGCACGCCCTTGAGCGATGTAGAGTGTGGTTTATCGAACACGCCCATTGAGCAATGTTAAGTATGGTTTATCAAACACGCCCATTCAGCAATGTAAAGTATGGTTCATACAGCAATGTAAAGAATGGTTTATCGAACACGCCAATTGAGCGATGTAAAGTGAGGTTAATTGAACACGACCATTGAACAGTGCAAAGTGGGTTTTATTGAACATGCCCTAACATATGTCATGGAAGTAATAGTTTTTCATAACAATATCATTTTTTTACCTGTTGAATAAGATTATTTTATTTTATTAGTAATTCCCCTGACCTGTGACGTGGATGATGGGTGGCAGTACTACTCTGGGTCCTGTTATAAATATATACCAGCATTCAGACCATACAATCAGGCAAGGTATGTATAAATACCGACGTTCAGACCGTACAATCAGGCAAGGTATGTACAAATACCGACGTTCAGACCATACAATCAGGCAAGGTATGTATATAGTTCGGCGTACAGAGTGTACAATCAGGCAAGGTATGTATAAAAATCGAGTTCAGACCGCACAATCAGGTAAGGTATGTATAAATACCTGACGTTCAGACCGTACAATCAGGCAAGGTATGTTTATATATATATCGACGTACAGACCGTACAATCAGGCAAGGTATATATATAGTTCGGCGTACAGAGTGTACAATCAGGCAAGGTATGTATCAAAATCGAGTTCAGACCGCACAATCAGGTAAGGTATGTATAAATACCTGACGTTCAGACCGTACAATCAGGCGAGGTATGTTTATATATATATCGACGTACAGACCGTACAATCAGGCAAGGTATGTACTGTACATATTTCGGCGTACAGACGGCACAATCAGGCAATGTATGTATTAATACCGACGTTCAGACCGTACAATCAGGCAAGGTATGTATATATATATATATCGACGTACAGACGGTACAATCGGGCAAGGTATGTATATATTTCGGCGTACAGACCATACAATCAGGCAAGGTATGTATAAATACCGACGTTCAGACCGTACAATCAGGCAAAGTATGTTTATATATATATCGACGTACCGATCGTACAATCAGGCAAGGTATGTATAAATATCGAGTTCAGACCGTACAATCAGGCAAAGTATGTTTACATATATATCGACGTACAGACCGTACAATCAGGCAAGGTATGTTTATATATATATCGACGTACAGACCGTACAATCAGGCAAGGTATGTTTATATATATATCGACGTACAGACCATACAATCAGACTAGGTATGTATACATATATATCGACGTACAGACCGTACAATCAGGCAAGGTATGTACATATTTCGGCGTACAGACCGCACAATCAGGCAAGGTATGTATAAATACCGACGTTCAGACCGTACAATCAGGCAAGGTATGTACATATTTCGGCGTACAGACCGCACAATTCGATCCTTTGATGTACAATAAGGAGCTTTCCTTTTTCTGTACAATCAGCCAAGGTATGTATATATTTCGGTGTACAGACCATACAATCAGGCAAGGTATGTATAAATACCGACATTCAGACCGTACAATCAGGCACAGTACATGTATGTATATATATATATCGACGTACAGATCGTACAATCAGGCAAGGTATGTATAGATATCGGCGTACAGACCGTACATTCAGGCAAGTTATGTATATATACCGGCGAACAAACAGCACAAACAGGCAAGGTATGCATGTTTAGTATTTCTAGTTCAAAAATAAATAAATGTCTATTATTTTCATGAAATTCTACAAGATTTCTTTGTTAAGGGGGAAAACCTGTTAATACATTATCTTTGAAGAAAAATCGAATTGTGAGTCGTCGTGTTAAGCAAATATTGCAATATCACAATTCGTGATAACCACGTGACAGAATGCAGTAAGTGCTGACTACCTGTACTTGGTTTCTTCCGTTAGACAATCCTGTCTGGATATGGATGCCAATTTAGCAACAGTTACGAATGACGACGAACAGAATGCGGTCAACCACATGGCTACCATGGTAACAAGTGCACAAAACGCATGGATTGGTCTACATATGATTAAAAACGTGAGTATATTGACTTGTATGATGTAGCATCAAGGTCATGGAAAGCAAACTTTGTATAGCTATTTCTGTGTTTGGAACATCTTCGAACCCATGTGCTCTTTTCTCGATACAGATATCTTTTCTGCTGTCCTGTCGAAATCGAACTCTTGCGATAAGTCATTTGATTGGTTTCTGGTATAAAAACCTACCGAATCGCTAGGCTAATACTTGAACTTTGGATATTACTACTTATTGTATTTGTATTATTTTGTCTTTTAATTTTTTGTAACAACAGACATGGGTTCTGACGAACAACACCAAACTGTCACCAGCGTCCATGCAGTACTGGCAAAGACCGCCTAACTTTGGGTACAGTATACACTACAGGATGTAGACATGTGTATATATATTCGTTTGATATGCTATTCGCTTGAAAAGTTTACTTTTAAGGTGTGAAAAAATAACTTTTGCAGCTTCACATTGCAGTGCATAGATAATTAAAAACAGTGTTAAACGTAACACCATTTGGTCAAGTATTGAGTTAGGAGGCACGGAAGTCTAGTGGTAGGACGCCGGACTTGTAACCGAAGGGGTGCGGGTCCAAGTCACATCACGTCACGTCACTGTGTTGTATCTGTGTTGCATTCCGCTTGTTCCAGTCAACTCAGCTGTAAATGAGTACTTGGTTGCATTGGGCAGTGCTGGAATCGTTGAATGCTAGCTGTGAGCGCTTAAATGGCAACATCGGCTGTATGCTCCTCATTGAGTTGAGGAAGATGACCAGGTATAACAATTTGTTGACCGCTTTGAGACGACCTACGACCAAACGTGTGATAAAACTGTATATAAAGACCTCGAATTATGAATTATTAATATCATTATTAGTTTTAGCAACCTCTTTTATGACAACATCGAATTGCCGCTCCAAGACCTACAGGAAACAACGCAAAGAGCACGAGATACGTAAATAAAGCACAGTTATCTCCATTGTGTAGTCTATCGACCCAAAATACTGTTAAAAAAGCAGAAGTTCGGCAATAACTACTGCACGTGAATGTTTTCAAATAAAATTTTGTTGGACCTTAGTCATATAGTTTAAGCAGTCGAAGACCAATCCTAGCTTAACATCAAGTTCAAATATTAGGGATATGGTTTCATGAAAACTTTTGATCAAAAGGTATACCGATCCACAGGGAACGTTAGAGAAACACGAAAACTATTTTGTTTTGAAGAGACACATGCGTACATATGTATCACGCCGCGCACCAGGGGAGTAAATAACGGAGCTCTGTTTGAACTACGATAGTTGTTAAAGGTTGAACTCAAAAATAATCTACATGAAGTGATGTATTCAAAAAGGAACCTAAACACAAACATGTCATAGCAAAATCGAAGGCTCGGTGTGCGCCACATTGTTGATGAGACAAGAAGACTAGTTCGATCCTTTGATGTACATCAAAAGAATCTAGCGGTCACGTAATGGTAAAAAATGACAGGCTTTGAAGTCGGCGTCTCTACCTGAGACCAATCAAACAGCTATCTTCGAGCCTTCAATTTTGCTTTGACATAGTCCAGGGGGGTTGAGAGCGTAAGTGAGTGTAACTCCTGGGTATCGAGGATGATTAAAACCCCTAATTATATAAAATCCAACAATTAGAGGAATACTGGTTAGTTTCAAATTAATACTAACAAGTAACGTGTGAAGATTAAGAAGTGTGTCACTACTCAATAGAAGTAAATGTGGCCATCAAGGTTACGGCAAACATCGGGGTCAAAGAAATCCACCTTGTATCTTGAAAGTTGAACCTAAGACGTGCGGTAAAATTAACAGCACGAATTACACTGACCATATAGCTGTTTCGTTCGTAAAAGAATACACCACTTATTAGTATGTGGAATAAATGCGAGAAAACGAAATAGGAACTATGTAACAACCTGTATGTTGCATTAATCTTGATAGTATTTTTCCGGATGTTTTTATCCGGATTGTATTTATCCGGAATGTATTTATCTGGATTGTATTTATCCGGATTGTATTGAGGGACTTTGTTACTACCTTTATGTTACATTAATCTTGATTGTATTTGCGTTATCGGGCGTATCAAAGTCAAACCACTACACAGCAAAAATGTAACAGACAATACATAGTATACAGATTGTTATACACCGATATCAAAACACTCGATAATGATGCGGTTACTGACAATAATAAACCATACAAAATTAGGCAAAATCGAAATAAAATACTGTTAAGTTCCTGTAAGCTCCTGGCATATATATTTTTACATGGACATACCTATTTTCAAAAGCTGATATTTCCCAGAGATTTTTTCAGAGATTTTTATTATCACTCAGGCACACTATTGTGCGCAACAAGAGGTCATCATAAAGTACAATATAACAATGATATGGTTGACCGTAAAGCAATCATCTTACTATGCTAGCGTACAATAATATAGTGGAAACTATTACACTCTTCATACAATGATAAACACAATATTACACTGTACTATCATACCTTATTATAATAGACAGTATAACGCACTGATCATACAATGACACTCATCATACACTGTGATATACATTATTACACTCATTTTACAATACTATTACGATGGTATAATACATAGCATTACATTCACACATACCGTGCGTTCACACTATGGTATAGCAGGCACTGTTGCATCCATCTTACAGTACAATCCTACAATAATATTATTACAGTATTACACATATATTACTCGCACTCCATGATACATATATTATAGATAGTATACCACACCATACAGTGCAATCATACCATGGCATAATAGTGACTATACTACTCATCATACCATATAATATTACAAAGGTATAATAGACAGTGTTACAATCCCATCATACAATACTGTAATAGACAGATAACAAACAAACCATGATAAGCATCGTTTAAATAGTTTACTATCATTTGTCGTCTACGATTCGCATTTTTAAAATAGGAAATTTAGCATTTTCTTTTATCAGTTTCCAACATCTAAAGACATAAATCTGATCGCTGGGCGAGTCTGTCTAACTATTTTTTGTTGCGGGGACAAAATGACCTTTTGCTGCTTTTCTTTTGAGAATTGCAAATTTTGGATGAAATCCATTTCGTCTTTTCGCGAAGGCACACACCCGTTCATTTGTTTTCCAAACACATTCGCTAGTTATATATGTATCATTAAACCTGCTTTTTAATCTATAACTTACTTATTTACGCCTTTGGTAGTGTTATAGAAACTGTAATTTTCATTTGCGGGAAATTGAATGTCTTGATTTGGGCTAGACGCAATCTTTTGCTTGAAATCGCCTAGAAATTATTCACGGGAATTAATCCATTACAGTTAAATCGTGAAAGTTATGGCAAGCAAAAATAAGGACTTTAATAGGACTAGGGGCTTTAAGGGTCATTTCCGGCCTCATTATAGATTTAGGACTAGTTGTTATATCCATAATCTGGAATAAATGAAGTACGCAAATTTGAAATCTCAAGTTCATTCGACAACTGGTTTCAGAGTATGGCATTTCAAACGGAGACATAAACCCACATGTTCATGATGAAATGCGTGAATATCGTCTGGTGTGCGCTATTTGAACGCCTCCGCATGCAACAAACACATTAATATTTGACATGCTTACACATTGTTATACCAATGTTCATTTGTAGAACGAATGTTTTGTTTGTCACATGCGGAGGCTTTCATTTCTGCATGTTAACCTACAAAAACACCATATTTTGGCTATTTCTGCATTGCAACACAATTCGTTGCGATGTAAGGGCATCTACGCATGCGCAACGGAAAAAATCTACACCAATTAACCAATATGATGCTTATAACAGAAATTGGCAAATTAATTCAAGTTGAAACTTTCACATTTTTTGAGGCCAAAAATAATCCATAAGTCCTTTGTGAGGATAAAGCAAAAAAAAAAATGTTATCACTTTGGATGTTATAAATAACATTTCCTCGACTTTGTGATTGGTAGAACGGACAGCGCCCCCTGTGTCGCAGTGAACGCTACAGCGAAGGGGACAAACACGTGGTATGCCGAGAGCTGTGACCAGGGCATGTCATATATTTGTCGGAAACCGGAAGGTACTGTATGAATGTTGCTGGATACAACTTGTTGTAGGCCAAACCAAAACTGTCATTATTCTTATTGACTTTTGTTTTGCTGTGAAAGTTATCTACCAACTCAAATATTTCATTATTGATCATTAATGGGATAGCAACAATGTCAAATGTCATACGTTTTGTGTTTATCCATGTCATAGCTTGAATTGTGGAGTAAGAATCAATGCCATGACGTCATGGCAGTGTAGTCTCATGACAATACACATGATTTGAAGATAGCGACTGTGAACAGAAGGATTTTTATTTCGTTTCTATTTCATTCGAGTTTTATGCAACGGTTTTTTAAAAATATTTAAGCTGATATCGATTAAAGGAAAACATACGAAATAGAGATATCTTCAAGGTTCTATATGAAATTTGTTTTATGACGTTGAATGATTTTTTTTTTCTTTTTTTTCTACTTGATAATTTTCCTTCGATATATTTCTAATAAATGTTTGATAATCATCTGATGATCCAGAATTGCCTAAATATTTTTTATGTTTTTTTGTGTGTTACATTTCCACCCGTAAAATATAAGGAATTGTCAATTTAATAAAAGCTTATAAATGTATCTTAACGAGAATACACCATCGTGTTACCCCTACCATTTTTTGATGGAATGTCCAATTTGTAGTAGAAATGATATGTTGATTAAGTTGCGTCGGTATCATCCATTACATCTAGATACGCTTTTGCATGGAAATGTTGATCTAACATTAGATGAAAACCAAACTATTTTGGAAATTGTTCAAATATTTCTTCGTACAAGTAATTGATTTTAAATATAGTCTGGAAGAACAGGTGAACTTATCCTATAGTCTATCCTTTCATTCATTGTCTTTCTATTAAACCTACCCAACCTTATCACTATCTTTTCGGAACCACCATAAGTGATTTTTGTAATATGAACTATACAAAAAATGTCTATTTCTTTTCTGCCTGGCACAATGAAACGATACCTAGAAGGAGCTTGAATGTACAATAGAGCAATTTAATTAGGAATGAGCATTTACATGGACAATTTGAACAGAGGAAGTAGCCGGAGTGTGTAGATAGTATGTGCCAGGAAGACATATTAAACATTGCTATACATTATATTGTTGTATATGATAAGAAATGCTATATGATATCCTTGTGATTTCCCTGCACTTTCAACCTGTTTCTTCTTTCCTTTTTCTGATTTCCAAATGCGTTTTATGGTATAAAAATGTACATATATGTCTATTGTCGCTATCACATTGTTGTAGTACAATTGTTGAGGAGAGGGCCTTTATAAGTTGTCATAACTTGTGCCCAATTATCTTGCTTGAATTTAGAAGCAATACAATATGTTTAAACTAAACCTAATACATACGAAATGTCACATGACTTTAAAATTGTCCAAGCAGAACGGTTCATTCTATGCGTAGATTTTCAGTTTCAAATTTGATGAAGAAATATTCATTGACATAACTACACAACTGATTTCATTTTTGTTTGGAAATCTTACAAGATAATAGCAGCAAACAACTGCATTGCTTTAAGAAACCCATTCAAAATGGCGCAACTGCAGTCCCAGACTGGAACAGCCTCCTACCAGACCAGAGCCCGTATTCATGAAACCGTTCTCATGCTCAAGCATGGATTCCAGCTCAAACCATCTTTTTTTGCAACTCACTTAACGCATGTCAAACGATCACAAAGTCAAATGTTAGCATTGGAAACAGTATCTGGCATTAAGTCTCTTCAAAACGTTTCCAAATCATTGACAAATTTAGATTGATTTATTAAGTTATAACAAGGACAAGAAATTAGACTTGAACAAAAAATCTATGCTTGAGCATGAGAACGTTTTCATGAATACGGGCCCTGGTCTCATCTGAAACCTTGGAAACCTTTCAAGGTCTTCTCTCCTCTCTACAAAATTAGCTATATTCTCGCTCTCTTTTCCTATACATAAATACAACCAAAACATCGCCATGATCTTCAATATGATGAAGTAGGTCGATTATCAGGTAGAAGTAGATGATATAATAACTCGGCGTCAAATAGTGTGCTACTTCTTCCCGCGCATTTTTATGCAATAACATTTACGTGGTATAACTTTAAGAAATGTAATTAATAGAAATTTATTGCTTTTCGGTTGAATACCATATATTATATTTTATTCTTATGGCAGATTATAGATATTTTCACACTTGAATATCAAAATTTTGCCATACTTATAAAATACATACATGTATATGACATTCAACGGGACATCGATAGATATCCGCTATGTATTATTAAAAGCTTCCAAAATTAATTAACTTTGTCCATAAAAAGAAATTTCAAACGATTTTTAGTATGAAAATTTGGAGGAATTTAGAACACGTAAGGTAACGTGTACCGTAAGTATTTCTTTATGCAAATTAGGAATCTGATCTCTTTTTTTTATCCAGGTATTTGCCCTAGTGGGTTTGATCAACACCAGTCAAGGTGTTACTTACCTGTTTTCAATCCGGATACTTGGTATAGCGCTAGCGCCTACTGTGACCGACTGGTCAGCGGGGGACGACTTCTGGACATTAGGAGGTAGGCATTGTGGGTACAAACTCTAGTTCAATCATAAGTCATTTTATGTTAAGAACCATCCTTGCAAGAACAAAATATTTTTTTTGTTAAGGACCACCTGAGTGATTCGACTTTGTACTGTAATGAATGATAGATAGAACTTAATCACATGAGACATCAATATCACATGATACATCAATATCACATGATACATCAATAACACATGATACATCAATATTCCGTCTTTGCGTATTGTAGAGTTATCTTCTCTTGGGAGCAGGTATTGATTGTTATGTCATTGGTTTTTGCGAGAAAATTACGTCGTTTTCTCAAAAATTGATGACGTTACTCTCACAAACAAGTGACGTAACAATCAATACTTGCTCCCAAGAGAAGATAACTCTGCAATACGCAAAGACGGAATTACACATACCGACTAATGGTGTTACATTTGCTGATTCGTTGAGTTTAAATATAATAGATATGTTCTGAATTTTAGCATAAAACAAAACATTGTATACGCTAAACTCTTTACTATTCTAGTTTTGATAAATACTTTATTTCCCAAACTTTGTAATTGTCAATTACTTATTTATTTGAATATGATCATAATTAAATGTGCTTACTGTATTTTTCGTACAGTTCAACTGAGAGCTCGTTTCTGGTCAGCTATTTGAGGCAGCAAAAGAAACGTGGTATGGACAGAATATGGACTGGTCTCTCGCGTAAGTTTTAAGCCCTAAACCTTGTGAACCCTTTTAAGGGCGGATTGGTGGAGTGGTTCACACTCCTGCCTTCCAGGCAGGCGGCCGGGGTACGATCCTCGAAGTCGTCGTACGCATGGAATATTCAGAGAAAGTGTTTTTCTCCTGCCCACACAACTCCAACAACCCAGGTGGAGTATACATTGGTCTGGGTGGATGTTGCGGTATTTTTGCTGTAGCATTCAAGCGAGGTGGCACTATAAATGATGTCGTTGGAAGCACGGTCCCACTACAAACAGAACACATTTACATCTCCAGCACACACACAGACAAACACATATAGGGAGATATTAGCCAGGTGGCATATAACTAGTAGTTTGCGCCTGATAAGGCAGCTCCTGCGAATTCCTCAAAAATTGTATTGATTAATGTATATGTTAATTGTATTAATTGTATATATATGTACTGTAAAGCGACTTAGAGTGGTTTATGTTAGCTAGACAGGGCGCTATATCAAATGTTGTTTATCATTATTTGAAATATCTTATTCCTTATTGAAATCTTAACCTTTGTTTTATATAATGGGGTATGCACTATTTTTATAGTCGCTATATTATGCGCTGCAGTTTTTCCGTGATTTTTTTAAGACACGCTTTATTATTATTAAAAATTCAAATAAAGGTAAACTAAACTTAATAAAGGTGTTAATGTTCAAATTTTATAAAGCTATAAGGGATTAAATTTCGGTCTTTATTCTATTGTAGGTCGAAACGTTCAGTCACTTCAGTCCGATCAACCAATGTGGACTTGGACCCAGAACGAGCCAGACCAACTGACCTATTTTAACTGGGCATCCGGAGCCTCTAGTAGGACTTCTTCGGCAGATCGCACCTGTGTGTTCATATACGCAGGTAAATTTAGTTTAAACATATTTTATTGCCAAAAAGCAAAAGGATTGGGCACAAGTTATACAAACACACACAGAGAGAGAGAGAGAGAGAGAGAGAGAGAGAGAGAGATCCTTCATTTTATCGACAAACCGCTTTATAACGCCACATTTTCTCTGGACAAATTATGGCAGTATAACGAGGTTTTACTGTATGGTTTTTCTCGGTGACAAATCATGCTGCTGCACTGGGATCAAACCACATTGCAATGATATTTTGGTAGTGGGTTTTAAAACATCTTAACTCGTTATCAACAGATATATAAAGTAGACGCTCACTACTGGGATATTTGTAAAGCAAAAATATAGGTCCAAATCACTCATTGATTTTCGGAAGAGGCAATTTATGTTTTATATATTTCTTTTTAACACGTGTTTTTTTTCATCTTCCATAACCCCTATTGATACACACTGATCGATTATAATACTGTCCAAAGTTTCTACTATTTAAACGCATTGTGGTCTAATTGTTTTGTGAGAGCATTTAGGAAAAAAACATAAAAAAATAAAGGAGATATCTGAATCTCCCGTTGATGAAAAATCACTGAAATGGAAAGATTTCAAATTGATAGAAAACGGCATAGTTGAATTAATACAACCATGAAAAACCTATAACGGTAATCAGTGCTTCATAACATTACACGTGAATGCCTTTCAAAATATACAAAATTGCTATTTTAATTTCGTTGTATCCCTTTGCATTCATCAATTCGAAACTGCTATTGCATTATGTTGACGCGGCAACGCGCATTCGGAAAGCTTCTTTGACAAATAAAAGAAGCATTCCGAATGCACGTTGCCGCACGTTGTCTGCATCTTTTCAAGACCCACTCCTTAAACTCGTACATTTTTGAGTTTCTTGTGCTGATAAAAATATAACTCCAGTGAACGCAATCGTTTATACAAAATGGCGTATACAGTTGCTTTTACGTCTTTTAGGTTTCTGTTGTTGGTCTTTTTTGTTTAATTATCAGTGAAAATGAAAGCAATCAAATGGCGAAATATTGTCATGTTGCAACCGATCACTGACGTCACATTTTGACATAACGATACAAATCTACGAACTATAATTTGACACTGCCGACGGAATATGCTAAATAATAAATGAAATATATCAAAGCACATCTAAACAATCACAATTGGCAGTGAAGGATCCCCGTACCACTGTTCAAAACTGTAACTCAGTATGGTAACTGTTGGCATGGCTTTAGCTTCGATGAATCATTTCTCAAAAGGAAACCGTACTTTATGGAACGTTTTAAAGATGGAAAAAAATATATAATTCATAAAAGTGTCCTGAGTGTATAAAAATTCAGCGGGGCTAGACAAGAATTCGTACCCAGGACTTCAACTTGTTAAACAATCGCACAAACCGATTGAGCTATGAACAGAATTAAGGGGAGGTCCCTGTGCGTAGGAAAATTCAGTGCAGTGGGACGGTGATCCTTAAGCGACGTTTTATATTCCAGATGACAGTAATGGTAAATGGAGGTCGGATTTAGACTGCGGCGAAAGGATTCCTTTTGTATGTGTGACAAGTGTCGGTACATCTCAGCTTACCACTACTACCACGACTACCACAACTACCACTACCACTACCACGCCTAGACCAACAGCTTCAATACAGACCCCAAGACCAGGTATTGTTTTTATTGGAGCTTTATATCCGGGTAACACCCTAACGTCTAGGTCATAAGCTATAACACAGACGCCAATCCAAGGTCAGTATTCATAAATCTGTTCTCATGCTTAGGCTCATGCTTCCTCCTCCGCCGTAAAAAGTTTCCGACACATATCACGAAAACTATTGAACGAACATTAATGACGCTTTACACATCATGGTAAGGGTGTGTGCAAGGATCTTTCGTTTTCCGATCGGTCAACAAAGATGGCCGCCACGGCCTCTGATAGGTCGAAATTACATATTGGTCGATTTGGTATGACGTGTATTTTTGCAACCTTGCGACTATGGGGGCAGTTTGGGGGACTTCTGTAATGGTACCCCATTATTATTAGCACTTGTACTTTTTGCATTGATAAACCGTACAAATGTGACAATAGAACAAACAAGATAGAATAGGTTTTTTATCGTCTACATATGGATGCTGTGGAAAATAAGATGACTTGTTCCAGGGAAACATTTCAGACCATTTATACGTCAAATTCAATTGAGTGTTTGTTGATGAACATTGCGAAAGTTTGTAATTTACAGTAAAACCCTATATATTATGCCCCTCGTTTCATTTTCCACTTGTTTATCGGCAAGATATTTCAATATCCCTTTTTATCGTTTTCTTTAGAATTGCTTTATATATTTTCCTCAATATATCGTAACAACCTATATAACACAAAATTTGCTATGGACAAATGGTGGCAGTTTAACGTCGTTATACTGTACCATGGTCGTATTTAAATTAGAAACAGTTATTTTTCTGAAAAGAAAGAAGGACTATAGTTGTGTTATTGGCTTTATTTTTTAGTATCAACAACGAGAACAATACCAACGACAACTTCAACAACAATGGCACCCACGACTTTACCTACAGACCCACCAGGTATATTGACTGCATCTTTATTACTATATTTAAACATAGATGTTTGCTATCAATTATTCTATTGGACCTAAGGGTTTGTTAAATTGAAATAAATAAAAATATAAATAAATAGATGATAGACAACAAGCTAAATACTTATCACAGTTAATCTCTAAACAACATGACCACAATTCTAGCTTTATAACGAGGTTATGATGGGTAGTCTTCATCAACATTCTAATCACATTTAATGGAAAAGAGTGAGGTGCCATATTAATGACTGCAACGATGTTACCAAATGAAAGGTGGGTTTTTTTGTTGATGTTTTTTTTTTAAACTTTTTTTAAAAATAAAATTATTAAAATGGTCACTTGGTCAACTGTGAGGAAAAAGAACAGTACGAGAATGATATCCTGAAATAAGTTTTTGAGGTAAGTTACTCTGTAATCGCATCAAAACACATTGCATATTGCCGTCAAAATCTTTAAAAAAAAATCGAAAGTGCAGTATATTAGAAAATGATTATCAACCGGAACAAATTGATGAATTGTTTGAATATTTGGCATTTTCAGTGACTTGGAGTGCAAAGTGTGGTCCTTTTTATGAAGAAGCTCATTATTCCGGATTATGTTATCAATTTAACGACGAGAAACGGACTTGGATGGAAGCTGAAAATCACTGCAAGGCTGCTGGGGGCCATCTGGTCAGCATTCAGGGAACTCATGAGCAGTTCTACATAGGAGGTAATCTGTTTTAACTATGATCGACGTGAAACACGGTGCTCTTTGTGGTTTTCCTTACTATGTGACATGAATAAATCAGTAACTGCTTTTCTGGATGGTAAATGTGTTAAGCATACAATATACTTTCAATTTGTATGATTCGTACCTTATTTAGATTCTATTTCAGGAAAAATGTAATCGGATCCAACTATTTTTCTGGAGTTTGGATAGGATACTGTAAGGAAGGTACCGTTGAATCTATTTTTCAGAAATTAGGCAAAAGGAGTTTTCTAAAGAAGTAGCAAGTATATATATATATAATCGATAGAGACTGTTAATATAGTTGGATTTGTCAGAACATTATTACAGTTTTTCGGCAATATTTTGTTATTTTAAAGTTCTAAAACTTTGTTTGTTAATGAAACCGATACTGACTTCAGGAAGAATCAGGTCAATGAGATCGAGCAACCTCTGGATTAGTGCCAATAGTCGGAGTGACCAGGGAGGCTGGGAGTGGGCAGACGGATCACCGTTCCGTTTTGTCAACTGGGAGCCCGGTAATGTTTATTTTATATGGTTTTCTTATTTATTGTATCGATAAATAAATTCATTAAAGTGTCTATTTGAGGGGTGATACAGGTTCTTTAATGAGAAAAGTAAGAAAGTAAATACAAAATGATATCTGTAGTTTTGTTGTAATCTTGAAATGCCAGTACATGATTTCTGAAGAAATATTCAGTATGCCACCACTTAAGTAGTCGTTTAATTGTTGTTTTTTCTTCATTTTAAGGATTCACTTGCGTAGGATGTGAATAATGGATATAAAAGCACTAAGCAGCAGCATCTTAAAAATTCAGATAAAACTTCTGACGTTAAATTTAAGCAATGCTGTAAATCGTCGCATACACCTCCTTAATACTTGCACAGACACAAGTGTCATCGTCACATTCTATTTACAAATAAAAACAATATCCAACATGTTTTAATCAATAATTTACACGTTACAGGTCAGCCGGACAGCAGTGATAGCACCGAGGAGTGTGTCAGTCTGATCGTTAGGACATCGAGATGGGCAGACAACTCGTGCAACGACAGAAACGGATTTATCTGCAAGAAACAAGGTGACAAATGAAGAATGCCACCTCCTTGAAGAACTAAATAACCTATTGAACGAATTAGATTTTAGATAAAGTTTGAGCTACGAGTATTTGAATGGGGAATTGTCATATACAAATTGATATACAAAGCTCGTTTTTTACGATTTGTTTGATTTTGTTATTTTCCCGACAAAAAATCACCTCCTTTTAAAATAAAACCTTTCCATAATTTTTACAATAAGCATAATTCGAAAATAAACCGATTTAAATAATAAGATTTGAATTGCTTGCAGTCAATTATATTATTATATTTCAACAATAGGGTGCCTATTGAAATTGTCATGTTGTAAAATACGTTATACTTATGTAACAGGGGTTGAAAAATAATAGCTAAGTATGTGTATATATATTACCAAATACCAAAATCTATGAAAATAGTATTTATCTTGAATCAAAGATAATCGACAAAGTTCCAGTTATAGCAATATTAAAGTCTTTCTTCGTTCCGAAGCCTTATTAGACATGCACATATTCTAGAGTTATTGATCCAACGCTTCATTTATACGTTTTATCATTTTCCCCAAAAATGGTAGGTGCTACTCCCACTACAGTCCTGCCGAAAAGCCCGACCATGGGGCCGAAACCTGGCGGTAAGTTTGTCCCTATTGACACCATTATAACGTGGTTTCGCATCTAGCTATGTCCATCTGGTTTTCTCTATTTTGATTTATTTTCTAACAATAAAATTACGATTTTTTTTTTTTAATATCAAAAAGATTATATTCTTCTATATTTCAAAGAGTTTTACCAATTAAACTTTTGACAAATAAAATCAATACCGTTTGTATATCAAATGATATTAAAAATGAGCAACATCTTTTGCTCTTAAGTTAAAATCTTGAAATAATGCTAGACCATATTGCCACAATTCATTTGGACTTTATATGTTAAATATGCTTTAAAGCACTAGGGTCATTGCCAAAAGCGTTATAGTTAAATTGATTTCAAGTAAGAAGGAAAAAGACAATTAAAAAACCGCCAAAAAATATATGCAAATAAGGATTAGTTTGGTTTGGTTTCATATTGTTTAACATCCTAATTACAGCTAAGGTCATTTAAGTGCGTGCTTTCATGAGTTTAATGTTTGAGTGTATGTTTGCATACATGTTTGTGCAAGAGGAAGGGTATGTTGGTGTATTTGCTTCATTGCAAAAGCGCTATTTTGATAACGAATTAGGAATGCTTGACATGGGGACATAATTCATTGCCTCCCTCACTTAGGCGAACGTTCAATACTAAAGCCAAAAGTGTGTTGCTACCAGGAAGGGTGCTAGGAATTCCTTATTTCTTCATCTATTTTTTTAACCTGTAATATATATATGTGTACAGATGACCAATACTTTGGATGTCCGGATGGTTGGAAATCCTATCAAAAGTCTTGCTTTATGGTTAAACGAACGCGAAAGCAATGGTGGGATGCACAGAAAGACTGTCGTCTCATGGGCGGGGATCTTGCAACTATTGACAACGAGGATGAGCAGAATTTCCTTGTTAGCCAGCTACCAAAATGTAAGTCAGCTTCGCAATTAAAGTTGATTCTATCATATATAATGCTGAATTCTGTTACATTGAAGATTGTACCAGGACTGTTCTAATGAAAATACTATCTGTTGTGAAACAGACTACGCTGCTATGCATGTAAGGAACTATTCGAGAATTGAGATCCGTAGAGATGGAAACTCATATACAATAATTAGATAAAGTGTATAACAGAAAAATTGCATTAAGTTTACTTTTTAGTTAAAGCATAATTTTTCTGTAGTCAAAATAATATAAAAGGAAATTATGTCAAAATATTCAAATACACTTAATTGCACATGAATTTATATTAACAATTCAGTTATATTAAACTTCATGACGTGGAAATAATTATTACGTAATATTAAACGGCCCATTGATAATTAAGTCATTCAGAGCCACACAACACTGTAACATCAAACTAAAAAGATTAAAAGGTGAAGCATGTTTAAAATTACATGAATAGCAAACAAACAGGTTGTAAAATATATTAATTACCGAAAATGTAAAAATAATCAATATTCAATAATTAAATAGCTGAACTTTATGTATTGTTCTTCTGTGCCTTGTCAATCACGTTCCGAATCAGCACACTTTAAACAACTAAAGTTAAAATAGATTAAAGTTTAAAACAAAACGGAAAAGCAATGTCAAGTTTTTGTGTGTATTTTAGCTCATTGCTATAACATGTATCACGATGATAAACAATGTGACCAGTGGGCGGATTTAGGGGAGTGTACAGCAAACCCGAGATGGATGGCTACACACTGCCATCTGGCGTGTAAAATCTGTATACAGGTAAGATATATCTGCAACTCTATTTTTACTGAGCGAATTAACTGAAATTTTTTGGCGCTCGATAGGCTGTTCATTTTAAAACCAAATAAAACAAAGCTTTCCTCTTGTGTGATGCTTTCAGATTTGAAAATAAAATATGTTGCATGTGCGTATAACATTGTTTATTTATATGTCATAACCTCATAATATAACAAAAACTCAAAATCAATAAATGGTCGGTAACGATACTGTGGTTATCATTATTTTGATAATGTGTTTTCAATTGTTGCTCTATTTCATTTAGCATTTAGAGTCCGATTAACATAAAGCTTCGAAAAAAAGTCTACCATTAAATGAATGAATTGATGTTTTAATTTAATACTTTATTAAGAAGTTCTGTATTTTTCCAAAGTATGTAAAATGAGTTTAGATCATTATAAATATTTGCAAGTAAGAACAAAGCAAAAAGCACACTCGATTACAGCGTTGGGATTGTTTTACAGGATTGCAAAGACATTTACAATACCATAGAGTGTGCACGTTGGGCAAAAATAGGCGAGTGTGACATTAATCATGATTGGATGATGAGCCAGTGTCCACTGTCCTGTGGTATTTGTGATAGTGGTAAGTGTAATTAAGTTATCGTCTACTTTTTACTGCCAAAGTCTTGCTTTATATCAGGCATAGAAAACAAACTCTCTCAGGGTCGCACACAAAAAGGCAATTATATTGGGCGATGGTTGAATACCAAATTTCAAATCCCGTGTGAATTTTTGCTGTGTTGCATTTGTTTAGTTTAAAAATACTCATGTAGATGTCTTATAGGCTGATGAAAAGCAACCAAATCCCTTTTATAATGTTTAAAATTTTTGCCATTTGCTTAAATGAAGTGCAATACATGTTCACAAAAATGAGTTCTCCATGGTATATCTTATGTTTTAAAATAAAGTCTTACAGTGAACTATCCAATTATCTCCTTACATAATATAGTTGTATACGGGGGATTCTGGATCGGTCTAAATGACAGATCAGATCACATGACGTTTCGGTGGAGTGACTGGAGTCCTGTAAAATACACTTCCTGGGCAGAGAAGGAACCCAACAACTATGGAACAAGGCGTGAAGAATGTGTAGCTATGTACCTTAAGGTAAAACATAAAACGCACGAAATAATTCAGTCATCAGCTTATAGACAGTAATAACAATAAGTTGTACAATCAGTTACTCATTGTCCTGATGGAAATTCTGTGAAATCAAGCAATGGTTATTCTATAGCTTCTGGTTATATTGAATGTGATAAATTTCTTTGGTTTGATTTGTATTTATAAAAAAAATAGGTGAAAACCATATCGTAAGAAAAAGTTCATAAATAGCTCCAAAAGGATGTTGGAAACAATGATGATATTTTCCAGATATTCTTTAATAAATTCCTTTAAAAAATTGTTGTATGTCACTGTAGGAGAAACTATTTATTTGTAAACTAATACATGTTGTCTATAATCTTAATATGCAGTGTTAGTTCCGAGTAACAACAAAACAAATTGTACAGTAGACTGATTCCAATAGCTTAACTTAACTAATAGCAATACAACTTCGTTCCCCATTTATAATCTTATTGTATATAAAAAAATATCTGCTAAACAGTCGTAGATAAATGCCAGATACGGGTTGTTTTTTGATTCGCAATTCTAGATCTTAAATGATTCAGGGACATTTTCTGTTTTTACATATTTTCATGGAGTTATTTTAAAACTTTTATATTTTCTGAATTATCATCCTATTAAAAACGCTCTTTGCTAGGATGGAAAGTGGAACGATGCTCAGTGCGAAAATGCGCTACCAGGTTATATATGCCGTAAGCCTAAAACACTCCTGCCGAAGACTACACCATCACCTCTTGGAGTTGGCTGCATAAACGTCAGTATATTTATGCAATTTTGAAATATTTGCTTTTATTCTTTGTTGGTATCATTAAGCGTCGAAATATTCGGTATGATTCTATAGTTTTCTTACATATCATTATGTATTCCTTTTGCTGTGTTATCGTTAGGTTGGGTATGCTTAGCGGACATCGCTATAGCTAACTATAACGTGACGTCATAGTTTAATACGTCATAATTTCTCCATTAATTAAACAGTCTGAAGAATCTCCCTGCAGGACTAGCTCTGGGTCTATATTCACTTTCGCCAATTAAAATGTATGCACAATCAGCTCGAAACGCTTGCGACTGCAGGGGCTCACAACTCCCCTTCCTTCTTTTTTTATTGTAATACTTGAACATATGGTAAAAAGAAACACAAACACTATTTAAAATATCATTACATGATTGATTTATTGTTACAACAATTATGCATCAAACATAACAAATACACACACACATATATATATGGTAAAGTTTAAAATCTTCAAAGTTTCTAACACACTTCAAATACAAAAGAGACTAACAGAACGTCCCCATTACCTAGCTACTATTATTTTCAATAAAATTATAATGCTATATTTTTTTCTATCTATTAGCAACTATTTTGAAGCACATAATCTAGCTACTATTCTTTATTAATAAAGGATGATTTTACCTACACTGAAATAGAAATATGTAATAGGTCACAGATTAAATATTAAACAAATTTTGAAACGAGACACATTAATGTTGTATCACAAGGTATCACAAATCAAGATCATAGATTAACATGAAATAAATATTGAAATGAACAATGTCTATGGGGTGTGTAATCACAAACTTCAAATGTTCATCACTTCCAAGATTTCACACAAGATGTCTCTTCGTACATTGGCATCAGAATGCGCCGCTGCTTGACAGCAACCCACTTCTTGAGGGCAGCTTCAAAGTCAACCTCATCATCATGGATAGTAATCCACATCAGGTTCTCCAGACTACGGGGACCTAGGCTGTTCCTAATGTCTGTCTTTATCAGGTTCTGCCGACTCTCAAACTCCACTGTTGATACAGGGATAACCAGCAGTCGTGGCTACCAGGGGAAATCTATCCCTACACTTAATGGTCAACTGAGCTTCATCCCCTATACTCTGAAAAATTCTGACTGTTTGACCTCACCTGTACCTTGCCCTAAACCCTGTTACTTCCTGCCTACACTCTATCTCTGACCCTAGACAACACCCACTAATGTATGAAACAACATCATCTACAACTTCCTCGTACACACCTGACAAACAGAGAGCTGGGTCAAACAACCTGCTAACAGCAGACAATGCAGAAGCATCCCCCTCCTCCGTGAACCTATCCATGAGATTGCTAGCAACTCTATCCACATGACTCGCAAGATATGCCTGATAGTTTGACCCCTATACTCAAATGTGAATAACCCAGCATCATCTACAACTGGCTCAGAGGGCACTACCTTGAGAAACATGACCAACTTCTCACCAGACTTCCTATCTCTAATCTCATGAAGGACATCAACAGTAGAATGAAGGAGGGGGTTCACCTCAGTGAAATCAAAGGAAGACCTCTGGTATGCCTTACAAAGGAGAGAAAGGTGCTTCAGCACATATGCCAGAAAGTGAGAGACATAGAGAAACTTGAATGTAGTGATGGGCTTGTGCATAGATAGAGCCCTAGCTGAATTGTCCTCAAGAAAGACACTAACAACTGACTAAACACTACCCCGGAAACTCAACCACCTAGTGTGAAACACCTGTTTAAGACTAGTACACCACATGTCCTCTACCACAGACTGAACATCTTCTAGCCTAGCCTTATTCTTTGGGGAAAACTCAAAATATTTGAACAGGCTGTTCAGGACCTCCTGGAACTTAACCAAATACCTAATGTCATTAGCTGCTGAACCTTGTGGAACCGTTATGGAAAATGAAAATGTGAAATTGATGAAATATGGCTATAGATAAAACAGTGTTTTGAGTGTAATATTCAGCAGAGGTTACACCGAAATTGAAACACTGGAGTAAAGATAGTTATACTTTCGCTCCAACAACTGATCAATGTCAGTGACCTGACTCAAATGTTCAACAATTATAACACGACCGAAATTAAGGGGAGGTTACTGAATATTCGAACAAAAAACAGTTCAGTGGAACATGGATCCTTAAAGTGTTTTTTTTTAAAGGAATATTGTTTGCTCAAGTTAACTGTTATTTTAACATCGATAATATTAAAAAAATACTATCAAAATAATAGGCTGCATCGAATTTATGTTTTTTCGAGTTAAAGGCAGATGATATAGATGGAGGTCACATACATGTATGTAAGAACTACTTACATATGACATACAATTAAAAGGGTAGCACATTGTTTTTAAAAACGGATAAACCATATCAGAGTTAACATCCTTTGCATTATCTCCCTTTGCCTTTGACCTAGCATGTATTTGTACCTTCAATTTGTCAGTATGACAAACATAGACCGAGTTGTAAATTTTAAGGCCTTTGCCAAGAAAATTAATCAAAACAAATTCACACATATATAAAGAGGATGTTGAATTTTAACTTTTTATGTTTATAGGAAAGTATCGGATACAGTGCATATTGTTACTTAATGGGTAACGATAAACTGTCGTGGAGTGATGCAGAAGAAACGTGTCAACAGGATGGGGGTCATCTTGCTACTGTGAACGATAGGTCACTATGCTTTTATTTACCCTCGAACGATTCTTTGATAAGTCATACCATATTTCTTGGCTTCAGTATCATGAGAGAACTATAAATAGCTCGTGCTTGTAATTAATGCTTGCTTTTAGAATAAATTTCTGATTTGAATTTTGGTATAGCCTATATTATTTTTGTCTTTGTTGAAGGACAGTATATACGATACTTATTTTAGCGAACTGAAATTTTAACGCATATCGAATTAAATTAAATTAGAGCGTCTATGAATTGCCGCCTCAAAAACTTTGCAACAGAGAGCAAATATACAAGGACTTCAATTTGTGCATTCATGATTCAGCGCAATAATAAAACGCGAACAGCGCTTAAATAAGTATACCATTAAAATATGTCAATTTACAGTTTATGTTGAGCTGAGTGATTTCACATTCAGTGATGCAACAAATAGAAGGGTTGAATTGCGTTGCGATTAAGTTAAGAGAGTTATGAAATCAATTGGTTTGAGTCATAATTGACACTGAAACAGCTGAAGCAAAATGCACAAGAACATCTCCTTTCTTTTGTTATCGAGTTTGATATCTGAGCTCTCCGTTGAACATATGAGTATTCTTTTTGATATTTTGGTATGCGTACTTCTTGTAACAATACAAAGTGAACTTCAGAAGGCACAGCTGGACAAAACCAATGGGATCGGATCGTGTTAGTTATAAAGAAGAAACCAAACTGTTGGTAGCTGACTCGTAGCTCACGATTTCTTATTTTTCAAGGGAACGAGTTTTGAAAAGTACAAAATTCAGTTCAGTTTTATTTCTCTTAACGTCCCATCAACAACTCATGCTATTTAAGAACGTGCCTCCTTGTTTGTAATGTATGTGTGCATATGTATATAGGTGGAGATGGCAGGGTTTGTTGGTATAGTTGTCTCCTTGCGATAGCGCGGATCTGATGTCGACTTTTTAGTGCTATCTTACTGAAATACCATACCGATGGCACTCAGAATACCATTCCGCCCGGTTACATTATACTGACAAGGATAAAGTATGGAAAAACATCAAAGTGAGCGAAACGAAATGAAATATATTACGAAAATATAATAAAACTAAATAATGTAAATCACCTATAAAATTACGTCATCATTGATTTAGTCTATTCAAAACGTTTACAATTTGCGACAATAAATAACTCGCACACCAATTTATTAGTAATTCCAATCATTATATTAAAGGTACGTCCAGTCATTCATTGCCAGTCAGATCGTCGACATGACGGGCCCCTTTTGGATTGGATTGTCGGACCAGGATAACCCAGGCACATTCGTGTCTTGGAACAGTGGCTCCCAATTGTCGTTCACGCACTGGGGGAACGCTCATACAGGTTGGTAGTTCTAACAGAAATGTATACATACGCTCTCTTAAAGTTGAAAACTATTTAACGGATCATGAGAGAAGAGGGTTACAAAATGATCAGGCAGGAAATGGAAAAGGTTCAATATTGATATTACAATACTGAGTAAATTTGATTAAAATCCTTCAGTAACTTATCTCAGAATGTTTAATTACTGTATTAATAACAACAATTCATAACACACTTCTTTTTTCAAATGTTGGTATGAACGAAAAGTCATTTTTAGGTGACAAAAAAGAAACTAAAAAAAATGATGATAATATGAACTGGCCAATCGGTATCTTGCACAAGTCAAACGAATGTGCGCTTTAAACTTTTTTTGTGCGAGTAATGTCCACAAGGTCCCAGCTCAAATATTTCTAATATATCCTAATGTTTCTTCTTAGAGCAAACGTTATCGTATTTAACTACTATGTAAACTATTCACTGAAAAACAGGTTAACACAAAGAAAAAAAGACCAAAAGATTAATTTCCTTCACAAGTTTTAGGATACTCCAGTAATCGTACTTTGAACAATTAAGCCCTGTATGCATATTCCTGCAACAGACGTGCGCACAATATCAAAACTGTTAGCCTCCTATGTTAATAATCACCAATTAAGTACTTCCATTGATGAAACAGGTGACGAAGACGCAGCATGCGTTGCTATGACGACGAAACATCCGGTTGGTATGTGGTTGAAGTCAAACTGTTCTGAGGAAAGCCCGTTTATATGTGAATATCCAAGAACTGGCTTCACAACGACCACTTCAACCACTGTCAGCACGACCACTGTTCAACCACCGACGTGTGCGGAAGGCTGGAACAACTTCACAGAAAACTGTTACAAGGTAAAATTGACGAAAATATATTTGTTAACAAAACCTTTTTCTTCAAAAGGACAAATTATTTCTCAAGATGAAAGGATTGCAGTATTTCAAAAATACAAAACTATTCTAGAAACATGCAAATTAATATGTAAATCTTGTTTATTTATGTGGGTTTTTTATAGTGAGTGATTGATTTTGGTAACCAATGTGATATTTTATACATATGTAATATATAGACCTGGGTAAACCTTTTTTATATAAACTTTTACATTCATTATTGAATTAGGCTTAAGAACCATAGTCAAAGTCCTTTTTGATCCTGATATCCATTACCCTGGAGCACGATCGGTCAAGTCGTCGCTCAAACCTCCATTGTAATTAAACAATACTGGTATTTTTTGACACTTAGTGTGGGGAGTTGGATACAATTAAATCGCTATGACGGTCAATGTCATTGACGAGACGTTAGATTTCACATTTGTTTGGAAACGGTATAAAGGACTCACACAACTAAATCATTTACTATATGTTATTAATAAGATTTTGAGCTAATAGCGTTAATATTTGAAGTTCAACACTAGTGACAACAGTCTAGATTCACAGATACATACCTGCCAAAAGATTCAAAAGGTATTTTTGGCGGGTTTAATAGCATATACATGTAAGTGCGCTACAGGCGTCTGCTTTTGACAACCGGAAGTTTACAAGACAAACCGGTTACGTGGGACGGGAATACCCCGTGACATTTGACCTCATATCAATCCGCCATCACATATTAAAATCTACTGAAAGTATACGTTTTTCTAAAGTTCAATATCTGTAGATTTCATTCAATGTAAAATATGTCAACAATTACTTATTTAAATTACGCAGGGGCACTGTATAAAACCGGAATATTTTTTTAGGTAGGGATTACAATTGTATGAAATAATGACTGATTGGCTGATTTAGTTGTGTGGGTCCTAAATTTGCGATGGGCTCAGCGCCCTGTGGATTGGACCTTGGAAAGAATTTGTGGTATTTGATTGTGTGATAATGCCGATCTTATTGTATAACTTTCAAGAATAAACTAAAACAAATTTATAATGCTTAGATCGATGAATGACTGTTTATTTCCTGTCAACTGTAGATTTTTACCGGAAGCGACAAGTTGCCTTGGCTAAAAGCACGTTCCAAGTGTAGACAATATGGCGGTGATTTACTGAGTGTGCACGGACTCAGTGAGGAGGATTTCATTTTCGGAACTTTGATGACGTAAGCAATTAATTGTAATGAAACGTCATTATTTCAAACAAAACAATACCCTAAAACTATTTTATATATATCTAAATACAAAAGCAAAGATACAAAAGAACAACACGTCAAATAGCATGTGCTGTATAGGTAGCGTTGCTGTCTGCAACAGATACTATATAGTTCAGATAAAATGAAGTTAAAATAAATTCAACACAGAAATACCAATCGTCTCTTTTTGTTGTGCCCTATATTGATTCTTGTACATTGTAATCGACAAACAATATTTTAAGGACGAATTCAGTAAGTTCGGGAAATACTTATTCTGAATAAGGAAATAAATTACATTCATTATTTTCAAATTATAAACAGGTGCCTTTATCGATAAATTTCAATAACTGTTATATTTATATTTACAGTATATATATATATATATATATATATGTGTGTGTGTATCTTTCTTATTAATTTATTCGTTAAAATTACCAGATATGGTTTTGAACTTTGATGCAACTTTAGCGGAATAGTCAAGATTGGCAACCTACCCTAGCAGTGTATTATGTGAATCGGATTTCTGTTTTTCCCAACGCATGCTTATTATGTTTGCACAATGTTTGCATCTACACTTAAATTATATTCAGTAACAAAGGTTTGATAACACTTGTCACACATTTTCACAAACTATTGGTTATCATCTGGCCACTTTTATGGCAATTTGTGTATATTTACTTCTATGGCATAAACAAGCCTCTGGAAAATAAATTAATATTGATTGATTGATTGATTGATAGGTTTTACGTCCACTTCACTACCGAGTATTTCGGTTATCCAGCAGACAAATTAATATATATATATTTCGGTTATCCAGCAGAAGAAATTAATATTCTTGTTTTGTTGTTTTATAGACGATGGATGTCCGTTTGGAGTGGCCTGAACGACAGAGATTTTGAACGCGGTACTACTTTTGTAAATGCTTCTAAAAGTTCCCTGCATTATTACTCATGTTTGTTCATTTTCAACACATGGATGAGATGTTTAAATATACAAGATAGTGTTGAAATGAATGTAAAATTGCACAAAAAACAAACCTTATTAAAATGAAGCCATTTCCTCACACATGGGTATGGATTTATATTTCTTATAAACAAAATATGTAAAAGCAGATTAGTTCTTGTTGCTCAACTGTTCTATCTCAAATAATTAATTATGAAAAAAGTTGTCGAGTACACCGTTTTTCAAAACATATGTAATGGATTAAAAATAAAAAATAAAATGTCTATTATGTACAAGAAAAGATGTGGGTTTCATTGGTATATGATTCAACTGAAAATATTGCCATTTTCAATTCAAAAAATAGTCCGTCATCTTTTTTTCGAAAATGTCAAGTATGAAACTGCAATGCAGAAATGGTGTGGAATATGTAGTCCAAGATACTCAAAAAATGCAAATACCTTAAAACTGATTACGGTAATTCATTAAAATATTTTACTATAAAACGGCAGAAATCCAATACAAAAATGTATATAACTCATTTCTAAATTAGTCCATCTAACATGTATTTGTAAAATTTGACTTAGGGTTTTCATGGTCCGACGGAACACCTTTTGATTACACTAACTGGTACATCGGTGAGCCCAACGACGCCATGCACCAGGAGGACTGTGTAGAAATGCCCGGATGGTCTCGCCAGTGGAATGACAATAACTGCTACCTAGCAAAAGATTTCATCTGTAAAATAAAGAAAGGTTTGACTGTATATATAAATTCATTTACTTTACTTTCAAGTTGGTAAATATAAAAATGTATATACATGTGTGGGTGTTTTTGATATACGTTCAAATTAGTAAATTTTGTAAAACCTGTGTCTCCTTGATGTAAGTTTGAAAAGTATGTTTTTTATGTGTGTGTTTTTAAACGTTAAACATCACTGTTATAGATGCTGAGCTGTACGGGAAAGAGATAAAGACGACATATTTTATAACTTTCGATTTTTCGAGTTTTTAAAACGATGCAAGATTATATACAGTATTATTTCTTGCCATGGGCATAGGCTAGGGAAATTTCACCGAAGTCTTTATCAAATTGGTTGAAACCTGAGGGTTTCCATGGGTTTTGTACCAATTTGAAAACCTCGAGAGGGGAATATCTGTCTATTCCATCCCTTGCCTTGGCATGACAGAGCATTATTCGTTCATTCTCATCACAAGAATAGCTCAGAAAAAAAGTGTCACAGTTTCCATCATCAAGGCATTGGAATAATCCCGAATTCATTACGTCACGTCAATATTGTCGCATTTTGCCGTCACTCACATGATATTGGTTATAACAAAGAACTTTATTACCAGTCTTTCTTACCCTACCCTTGACAGTTTTGTAATTAATTCACAAGAATGCACTCTTGTCATTTTCATCAGACAAATCACCGGCAAAATATATGCACAAAATTGCCTGGGCTGAATGTTACGAAATATTTAAATTGATTTGATGATTTTGTCTTAATTTCATACGTGTGTAACAACTTAGTGTACATGTTCCAAATCGAAAACGACTGTTTTGCCAGCTGGTTTATAGGGCACTCGTTCAAAACCTTGTGTACATACGCTTTATTGGTCTTTTGTCTTGTCTGATGATCGTGATGTAGTACACATAGTACTAGTTATCGAAACTTCACACGTGAACACGTCACTGGTGGGGCTACACGTGTATGAGCCTCTGTATAAAATGTGTTTAATGTGGTGTTTGTTTTTACATAATACTTGCTCTTTTATCCTGTTATTTTACATTATATAATTTATTACCAGGTTTCCCTGTGATCGATGTCGACAACCACACTGACATATATACGACAGGTAATGTTATTGACGAATTGACTTGCCTTAAAGTGTTTCGTTCATGTAACTTAATCTCAACAGCTCAAGTCACCTACGTTTGTACTGTTTTTGTATTGTTAAACGGCCTATCGATAGTGTTTGTCATCAAGGGGGCAAAACAAAACTGTAAAAAGGGACATTCACAAAAATGAATACATCGAACTGAAACTAAATAGATAAAAATTATGTAAAGGATTTATAAATACATCAATAGCAAACAAATTGGGTGTAAAATTCATCATATCTTATAATCATATATTAATTGCACAGAAACTGTCATCGAATCTGTCAGTTCATTTAATCATAAAGCGTTTTACTGTAAATTGCTAATCACATTCATGATAATCAGGCTGGTCTTCCTTACGTAAAATGTAACAATGTGTGATGTAGGTATGGCCTATGCGCAGTCGCGAAAAGGCAATTTCCTGTCCTCAATATACTTATTACTCCGTATAATAAACAAAAAACTCCTTATATGCAATTAGCTGCTCGGCCTTTAGGAACGACTGAGTCGGCGTTTAATCTAAATCCTTGTTTATGCACATATATATACCATACGTGTAACCCACACTCTACAATATCCCCCTCTCGGACCATATTTATCTAAATAAACCAAGCCTGCCACCCAACCTGAAAACCCATTTTAGGGATACAGGAGGTGTGCCAGCCCGATGCTTCAGGTTTACCTTGCTGGGATTTTTAAACATGGAGTTTAAACACGATCTTTATACATTCAAGCTATTATTTCCCTTATATTACAATGAATTATGTTGAATTCAAACGGTCCGTTCCTGAGCTGACCAAAAGCTAGAATGCCTAACAAACTAACCCCATCACGCCCTACGCTTTCGAAACAATCTCATTGGTCGGCTATAAACCGCACGTGCTTCTCAACCTATACGATTGCCACGTACCTACAGGACAAATATTTCCCGCTATTCTACGAGCCGCGGGAAATTTAAATTATATGGTCTGCTCAACCTGCTGCACATGAACGCACATTAGATTGAATTGTAAGCTATACGCTAAAAAGGATAAGTTGGCGGTATCAAAATAAAACTTTGTTCATTTTACAAAGATTACGAAACACGTTTTTGCCAGTGATATTGAAGGAATAACCATGATTATTGTTTGGGTTGTACGGTAAATATAAAACAAAATGTCCACACGGTATAAATTGTTTTAACAGAGACGTGCGGTAAGGACAATGATTGGTTCTTTCACAATGGGTTCTGTTACCACCACCGTATGCAGGCTAGCGAGCCAGTAACATGGTACGAGGCCAGGAACAACTGCATGTCCAACAACAGTTATCTCGTCAGCATCCACTCAGAGGACGAGACCAACTTTCTGGTATCAATGGTAAGTCGATTACATTTACATTTAGACTTGGGTTTTAAAAAGTAACATTTACCTTTTCGTAACAAATGTTGTTTCCCTTTTTGCAATTGACCCGTCCTGTTTCTACTTCAAGTTTTTGTTTATGTCCATAAATCCATGTCCATTCCAAATCAATATTATTTGACATCGAAAGCTGTTTCATGGAATTCACTGCGACAACCTGAGTTAACGGGGAAAATGTTAAGTTACAAGTTGTAATTTGCAATTAGGTCAACGGGTTTTGCACATGAAAAATACCAGGCTAATATGATTTTTCTAACATCCATTGAACATTTTCCATTCCTTTGCTTTAACGTTCTCAACACCATATAAACCTTGTGGAATACTATTTTAGAAATTAGCTTTCATTCAAAGTTAAGTCAGTGATAAATATTATGACTAGTGACTTGTCTTAAACTTAATAAGAGTCTGATCAATGATGATATGTGTTACAATTCAAAGCAGGAAATGATCACCCCCTCTTCAGATCAGATGTCCTTTTTCGGTGCTTTTTCTGTCTTTTCTTCTGTTATTGCGTCAGGTTAGCTTTCGTTCGTTCCGGCCTTGAGTACTGATTTAGTTGTTCTGTACTGACGCCATGTTCTGTGGTATGTACTAAGTCACAAGCTGTTCCTTTTAAAGAGTGATCAGACAGAAAAAGGTTCAAGAGAATTGTTGATCTTTAGGTTGGTTAATCTGGACTGAATGTCATTTTATTTTGTACTCAAACCTTGTTTTCACTGTATACAGTTACAATACCCAATCTGGTCGGAAAACCTCCCCTATGGCTTGAACAGAAGTACATGTTTGTTTTTATATTTGTTTCGGGTTTAACGTTCTCGAAACAGCCAGGGTCATTTATTAGAACGGGTGCCTAGGGAAACACCACCAGGAAGAGAAAATAGATAGAAAATGGTAGGAAACGAAAAGGATCCCTAATGTTGCAGTGGGGGCAGCACATTTATTTTGATGTCCTCTTAGTACAGACACAAAAGGAAAACCCTCGATTCTGCAGGGGGCCCAACGTTAGTCGCCTTTTTCGATACACATGCAGTGGGATACAGAACGTCTATTCTTGGTTTCTTGGTCCCCTAAACAGGAGTCAACGAAGAAAAAGGTATCCTGACCCCTTTAACTCCTGAGGCACCAACAAAATGAAGAGCAGCCTCACTCTCATATTCAGAAAAATATTATCAACTTCCTCATAGGATACTTTAAAACATACGCAAAAATGAAACAATAACCAGAAGAAATAATGAAGTCTAAAAACGTGAATTTCAACCCTTGTTTCAAAACCAGAGACTCTGAAAACAAATAATTAATCATAATTAAAAATAAATAACATAACTTGTTGATACTGTTGTTTTAGATCTCACTGGCATCTGAAATAGGTTTACAGTGGATTGGCTTGAATGAACTGCAACTTGAGGGATACAAGTAAGCAATGACATATTGTTGACTTTACGGCCCATCGTCAATGCAAGTCGATTTGGGCCAAACAACACGATGAAAACAGACATTCGCAAAATTAAAACATCACACCAAACATAAATAGATCAAAAGGTGTAAAAGACCTGTAATACATTGATCGCATACAAATTGGTTGTTGTATGCATCATTTCCAAGTATAAAGATCAACTGAGTGAAAATGATCATATCTTTATTGTAAAGAAACTAAACCAGATACATGTACAGTTTTAATAGACGGTACCTTGTAGAATCTGGCACGTATTTGCTCGAAGTCAGCGCATTCAATCATTTTATAATCTGACACGTATTTGTTGGAAATCAGCGTATTCAATCATTGTTGAATCTGTCACGTATTTGCTGGAAATCAGCGCATTCAATCATTTTAGAATCTGACACGTATTTGCTGGAAATCAGTGCATTCAATCATAATATGTGCTTCATTCACTGAGCTGTCGTGTTAGTCTGGACAATTCATTAATCGATCAAAAATATAAAGAATAATTATTATTCTGATTTATTTTAGCCGATAATTATATGAAAAATAATTCGGTTCTTCAAAATCCTCATAATAAAACGCTGCAGAAAGACAATTATGATATTTAAATTTACTCTGAGACGATATGTTTACGTTTGTGTTCATATATTTTGAATAGATGGACAGACGGTACGCCTTTGGAGTATATACACTGGAATCCTAATGAACCAAGCGACAACAATGGCGGGGAGCGATGTGTTGGCATTAATGATGGTATATATAGACAAAATGGAAAAAAAATATGATGAAGAGTGCATTGGTTCAAATGAATTTAGTTTGGGTTTAAAGGGTTTAACGTCCTTTCTATAGCTAAGGTCATTTAAAGACGTGTCTCTTGTTCGGTTCGTAATTATAAGGAAATCCAGAAAATGTTATTAGTGACCCAGATTCTTAATATGTTTTTTTTTCTAGGGTGGGAGAGGGGGGTTATGTTGTTTAACGTCCTATTAACAGCTAATGGGCATTTTAGGACGTGCCTCCATGTGTTCAATGTATGCTTGCATGTGTGCATGTGTGTTGGAGGATGGGTATGCTGATGAAATTGACTCCTAGCGATAGCGCGGATCTAATTTAGTGCTATCTCACTGAAATACCACACCGTGGGCCCCCAGCATAGCATTCCGCCCGGTCACATAATGGCAATGACAATGGGTGAACCAGTTGTTGCAATTGGGAGCATTCATGCTACATTGTGTACTACAAAGACGAATGTTGTTGGATTAGTGTTAACTACGATAATTATGATACCTGTTTTTGGTAAGGATTATCGTCCTCGAAGCAGCTATGGTCATAAGACGACGGGTGCTTAGGGAGGCACCGCAAAAGGTGAAGTGTTGGAAGTGAGAAAATGAAAGGAATATATCTTAAGCAGTGATATAGGTGCAGCAGAACGCGTTTAGCTTCCAAAATGCTTCCTTAACAGAAAACCCCCGATTCTGCGGGGGCCCCTCATCAGTTGCTATTTACTTTCCCCAAACCCCCAGAGTAGTGTGTATCTTGAAAGCGATACATATTTATCCGTGAAAGAAATATGTTTTTCTTTTTATGTCGAAACCGCATATATTAAATACCTATTTATAATCATTTAAAATTATAAAGTTTTCCGCTTAATTGATTAGTTGTATATGATAGGGGAACATTAATAAGATTTTTATTTATTGTTTTTACAGGACGATGGATGGATGTTAATTGCAATCAAAAGTTAAGTGGATACGTCTGTAAGAGGCCTAACAACACTGCCGCCATTGCTACTCCCCGTCCTTCGCATCCGCCTTTCCCTGGGGCGGGATGTCCTCCGGGGTTCATTTTATCGGATATCAGTAAGATGCTTTACGCCAAAGAGACTGAATGTATCCCATTGCACACATCAGTATACATTTAATTACATTTCTTTGTAGTTCTGTTGCATAACAGTCTTTCTGACAAATCGTTTTTGAAAATAATATATGCCATCATTAATTGTTTCAAACCTGTATATACACGTTAACTGCTATTCCCAAACATGAACACACAATATTTAACTCTCACCACACAGCTATTCATTTCCATACACTCTAGCAATTAAAATACTGATTTATTTCTTTTACATCGTACTTTCTAATTAACTCATTCACCTTCGAAATTTTCACAATGAACTATTCCAACCTTTACATTGGAAGAGTTTAAATGTGTTTTTAGGGTTGAATGAGTTAACAGATATACATTCTGTACATCGCATCTACGTTTTGGACATATTTACTAGGTGGCTTTGCAAAACAAATTAAGCTGGCAGTATTTTCTGTAATGTAAATCGGTTAAGAACCTCCATTGCACTGTAGCAAACATACACTGTTAAAACGTTTCATTTTTCAGAGATAAATAATACATGATATGAGTAGTAAAATATAGTTTAATACACGGTTTGTAAACATTTGCATGATAGTACACATTATTTTTTTCAGATGATAAATGTTATTACATCTCAACATCTGACGACGGGATACATCATTACGAACAGGCAAAAGCGAAATGCGCAGAAAAATATCCTGGAACACAACTGACAAGTATTAATAGCGCTAAGGAACAGGGTAATACAACTGTATGCACGGTAGTCTGGTAGTACACTTGTAGGACGCATGGCTCGTGACCGAATGGTTGCGAGTTCGAGTCAAGTCACGGCACTGTGTTGTTTCTTTGAACAATTTACTTTATTTTGCTTGTTCAAGTCTACTCAACTGTAAGTGAGTACTTGGCTGGGCAGTGCTGGAATAGTTGGAAACTAGCTGTGAGCGCCTTAATGGCAGCACCAGCTGTATGATGCTCCCTAGGGAGTTGAAACAGATATTGGCTTGTTGCAAAGGCCCTTTAATCACGGCTAATACTTTGTGAACCGCTTTAAGACGACATACAAACTAGGTTGTGATATAGTGGTTTATAAGAACCTTTATTATTATTATTTAAAAAAATTGTGAAATGTTGTTGTGACCTCCGATATCGGCCGTATATTGCATTTCAAAATTGTATTACTATACATGTTTGTCTATTGACAGGATAACGTTGATTTTGAGGTTCCCAAGTGATTTTGAGTAGGTTGATTGTACAATTAGAATTAAAAATTTGGAATGCAGACTTCATCTATTATGTTCCCCTTTCCATCCCCACCCACCACCTTCTGGCGCAATGACAAACTTCATGTAACGATATATACATACGTCAAATTTGTAGATATTAAAATGTCAAAATTGAAACATAAAATAATGATTGCGCTCTCTGGTAATGACGAATTAGTATCCCTTGAGGACTTAATAGTTTCATGTGGACTGGAAATACTCTTCTTTATCCTATTTGCAAGGAGGTTCATTTATGAGACCAAAAATGCAAATGTCTTTTGTAGTGTAATGATACATAGACTGAGCACTATTGCTACGATTGCATGACGACGCGTTCGGGAAATAGTTCTTTAACAAACATTACCTAAAACGTTCCCCGGTACCTTCATCGACGCTATTTTGATATGACTTTGTCCATTTCAATCCCCCCCCCCAAATTAAAAACAAATGAATCAGGCATGGTATCATTGTTTTTTGTGCGAGAAACAGCGCGTGACATCAGCTTTGCCTCTGTTGCTGTTCTTTCCTTAATGATCTTTCCTTGCCGATATCAACTGGAAAGTTTATATTGTTGGTGAAAAATCAATCCTAAATACATATTTGCTCACCATGAGTTTGTCTGAGACACATCTTGCAGTTGAATTTGAAAGTCTGCCACATCTATACAATCTATTGTTTGAATGCTATGATTGATTATACGATTGTATAGGGTTTTACGTCCTATCAACAGCAATGGTCATTTATGGTCCATGTGTGTTGTATATGCGTGCATGTGTATTCGTTAAATGCAAGACTGATATGAAATGTAAAGTGAATCCTCGATATAGCGCCCCTCGTTTCAACGGCCACCTAACATACCGCAAACATATTTCAAGGTTCCATTTTTGTCCTTTTCTTAAAACCTCCTTAATGTGTTTTCCTCACTTTATCGCCAATTTCTTTTATTGCTCAAATCTTTCTCCGGACAGATGTTCGTACAGCAGTAGTATAACGAGATTTTACTGTAATTACATCTAAAGCAGAAAATTACAAGCATGGTACTGTTACTTTTGAAGCAGATACTGATCAAATAAAAAGAAACAATGTTTCCCTCCGAACAATTTGTCGACTATTATACATATAATATGTATATATGCAACAAGTTCAGTACCAGTTAACAAATTTGTTTTGTGAATTTTTTGAAAAATAAAACCAAAAGATTAAAAGGACACGGAAATAATCAAAATATGATAACTTTATATTCGTCTGAAAGGGCTACTATTTAATAACCTTCTCAATTTAAATATCTACCCCCTCGGCATTACCATATATTGTCGGCTATGGGTAAAGCAATGAATGCTTCATTCACCAAACGTAAAAAAATGTATATTAGAACTGAATTTGTTTTTCTGACGATTTGGAAAAATTGTCCATCTACATTTTAAAGCTATGTTTGACCCGTCTGTTATTTAAACTTCTCTTCTGTGAACAGTTATGACGTTGTACGTTTTGGTTTTGTTTCTGGTCAGTTTCTATTTTGCACAATAACGATTTTGTTACTATTTATAGATATTGTAAAATGATCAAAATTTCTGCATTTTCATTTCTGCATTTTCATTTCTGCATTTCATCCTTACCATTTTTTTCTCTGATACTAAGGTTTTGCTGCAACGTATTTTTCGAAATAGATATGCTTTTTAAAGCAACATAAACCCTTTAGACTTCAAAACAATTGGCAGTGGTACAATTGTTGACAAATTTGTTTGTATTCGTTGTGTGTACTGTTAATCTTCCGATGTCTCCTAAAAACTTCAATATAAACTGATGTTAACTTTTAAATTAGATTTACTTTCTTTTCAAATGCTGATTAATTGCCAAGACAAAGGAAAGGTTTACTCTTTTGTTATTACAATGTAACGTAGATATAGGGTTTTGGTATTATTTTTGCATAGTTTTGTTATTATTTATGGTTTATCTTCCTTCATAATGTATAATAGTGATTTGTATGCCTTTTTTGTTTATCAATTATAATTAATACTTTTATCCATATGTTGTAATATTTGATCAAAATAATAGTATAAATAATAATATACAGCATTGATATAGTACCCTATTAAGTAAGAGTAATTTTACAAATTATATATGGCGCTATATGAATGTTGAATATTATTAAACATTTATTTTTTGATCAAATATTATTTGATTTCTATGATTCTATTATTAAAGCAAGACGCCTTTAAAAGGCAAAGTGTGGCTCTTTTTACAACAGAATTTCAAACGTCTGTATAATATGATTCATATATGAACACAGCAGTGTTAACCAAACGTTTGCAGTGGATATGCCTAATGAATAAAGCTTCCCTTCCAGCTCGAAGAGAAAAAGTTTTCTTTTTCTATGTCTAACTACTGACACAATGGTCAATCCCTTAACCCTTTCACCACTGTAGACCATAATGGATTAATCCAGATCAATGTGCGGTAGAGTCTACTAAAGTTACATAGGGTGAAAGGGTTAATGCATAATTGAATTTGACAAGAAATACTTTTTTATATCTTTAATAAGATTCAGCAGTTTGGAAATATGTAATATCAAAGTTTTTCTTTCTACACATACAATGTACGTATTAAACGTGTCGCAACATTTCAAACCCTTTGTCAATCTATGACTGAGTTAGCGATTTGTATTTTTACCGGTACACCAATGTGACGAAATTGTATATTTTTGTGTCACTCGACCCGAAAGATTTTGCCTATCGATAGGGAGCGTATACAAAGTACATCAGTATCTGTATATATATTTATATCGCCGCTACTGTTTTGCTCATTTTGTTAATCTTTTCATATGAACTAAAATTAAATATGTATAACGAACTGTTGTTATCCTTACTACACAGCTTTCCTATTGGGTCATCTGGGGAGGAGGGAAAACAGGGGATCAAAATACTATATTGGATTTTCTGATCTTCTTCGTTATGATGGAGAGTATGCATGGGATGATAATACCCGAGTGACCTATACCAACTGGGATCTAGGGGAACCGAACACTGCAAATGTAAGTAAACGCAAACCTTAATAGGTAATTATTACAGTACATGTACATTAAAATTACATTGTCGTTACTATAAAATTATAATTTAATTTACAATGCATGACTATTGCACTAAGTAATAACATCTAACTCAATTGCTTATGACTATTTATTATTTTTCGTAAAATTAATATATAGATATGATGTTTTTCAATGAGTGGTCAACACACTGTTAATTGATTGTTCGTGGTCATATAGTATGGTAGATAGTGCACTTACCGTTCACCTAGACGACCTGGGTTCGATTTCTCGATCGAACATGAAAGTATATGTATGGAGTCAGTTGCCCTTCCAACCTGATCGTCTGGAGGTATTCTGTTTTTCTCCTTCATGAAGACCCCCTGCGCTCACATGCAAGCAAGCAACAATGGTCTATTTCATGAATGTTGTAAAATAAAAAATAAAGGTTTTTTGTTATGTTATATTTTTCTTTTTTGAAATAGGTATTTTCAATTGCATTGGTGGTCGAGTATCGAATATACCATAGTGAATATATTAAATTGTGCATTCAGGATTTTTATGTGATGAATCTTTATCTTCGACAGGAAAATTGCGTTGAAATAATTAACGACGGAGATAAGGCGGGGTTTTGGAATGACATTCCTTGCTGGAAGCAACTGAGGTTTATTTGTCAGACAAAACAATGTGAGTAGATCGAAATCAAACATTAAAAAAAAACATGACAAATGTTTTAAAGTAGCAATCGTTGCTATACATTAATGTTTTTAAATTCTTACTGACCTTTTTTGGATATATTTGTAAATAGTGGAAAACAATAGATCTAGTAACGCAAAATGTTTACATGTAAGATTTTGCATATCATTTGAACTTGAACACTTTCTGTTGTATAGTAACAGCGTATCATTAATAGGTTGAATAAAATGCAACTTCTGTCAAAGCTACGCACGAAGACTTAATTTAGAAACAAACGAATACATACTCCTGGTTTTAAAAGTACAACACTGTCTGGAAATTGCGCTTCAAACGAACCTGAACACTTCCCGTTTTAGAGGTTTGGTAACAGAACATATTTTTCAACAATGTGCTTGGGTTCAGGATTTAGGAATTTCCAAACCTTCACTTCCATTTTTAATAGTACAAAACTCACTGAAAATGCATTTCAAACAACCGTGAGTTACATCACAGCAACAGCTGAGGTCATTTAAGGTCGTGCCTCCATGTGTGTCGTGTATGTCTGCATATGTGTATGTGTTCCGGAGACAGGGTATGATGGTGTATTTGCCTCCTTGTGATAGCGCAGATCTAATGCAATCTTTATAGTGCTAACTCACTTGAATACCATGCCGAAGTCACCCAGCACGTCATTCCGCCCGGTCGCATTATACTGACAATGGATGAACCAGTTGATGATATTCTCCTCAATGCTGAACGTTAAGAGGGGATTAGCAACTTCTTTTTTTTCAACCATATACAAATGCCTATTGGAACATCTCATACCAATTTCAGTCATTTTCGCTTGTAATTCAAGACAGTTATCTTTGTGTTTTTTTAATGTTATTTGATTATTACCGAATTTATGTTATTTCACTTTATAACTTTCTGTCATATTTTGCCAGCAATCCATTTCCCGACACCCCCTGCTGTTCTTCACGATGGGTGCCCCCATGGATACACATGGTCATTCGGCAGCTGCTACAAGCTAGATCTTTCCCCTATGACATGGGATTTGGCACGAACAACTTGCAAAATCGACTCGGCTGACTTGGTTTCTTCGGGCAGTGTGTATGAACAGGCTTTCATAGAAGTGTTCACGAACAAGCTGAAATCGACACCCTTCTGGATTGGTCTGAAAAAGAGCGAGGTAAACTCTGTAATAAACAGACACTTAAATCCTGAACTGCCGATTAGGATATGGCACCATTGGATATAAAACCATAACCTTCTTATTAATTGCGAAGACACCATCGTGCTATAACGAAACATACTTAATAGTTATACTGTCTAAATACGTTTAATATTGTTTCCCTTTTTCTGTTGGTGAGACTTAACTACTTAGATCAGCGCAATATTTGTTTGTTTGGTTTGTTAGATATCTTTCCGTCCTAATATGTTATTGATATATAGGTTATTAATACCGTTATCGATCATGAAATCTATTTTTTAAATGTCAAATTGCCGAAATATATCTACCATTTTTGATCATAATAATGCTGAAGCTACCTTTAACATCATTTTACATATTATAGTATTCAACATCTCCTTCGTTATTTTTAAGGTACATCTCTCTCATACTTTTAAAATCATGATTACATTTTTAAAATCATACAAATGTATCTAAAAACATTATTGGTTGTATCCTTTTGTCGGGATATACACGCCACGCCGTTGATCTTTAAAGACAGGTTATTTAAAAAACAATTTATTTAATACGATACGCTTTTTTAACAATGTTTATAGTCAGATGATCTTCACAGACAGGTTGTCTTGACATATATGTGGTCTGTAAAGGCAAGTGGTCTTTATGAACAGGCCATCGTTATTGATAGGTGATCTCCATATACAATTTATTGTTTTCTTTTGAGGATACTAATTATTTGGTGATCTTTATAGATAAATTATATATATATACAAGTGGTCTTTGTGGATGGATGGTTTTAATAGACAGTTAGTCATTATAGACAATACATTTTAGCGCATGATTCATTTTAACCAGTAACACAGCACATGTCGATAAATCCAGCCAACTGGTTAACTAGTATGTGTGGCACTTCCTATCATAATTACATCCTTTATTCGGCATATTGTATGTTATGTGGGGCACTTCCGAACACACCTACATCCTATATTCGGCATATTGGATGGTTATGTGGGGCATTTCCGAACGCAACTACATCCTATATTCGGCGGATTGTATGGTTATGTGGGGCATTTGCGAACACAACTACATCCTATATCCTTTATTCGGCATATTGTATGTCATGTGGGGCACTTCCGAACACCACTACATCCTATATTCGGCATAGTGTATGGTTATGTGGGGCACTTCCGCACACAACTACATCCTATATTCGGCAAATTGTATGGTTATGTGGGGCACTTCCGTACACAACTACATCCTATATTTGGCATATTGTATGTTATGTGGGGCCCTTCCGAACACAACTACATCCTATATTTGGCATATTGTATGTTATGTGGGGCCCTTCCGAACACAACTACATCCTATATCCTTTATTCGGCATATTGTATCTTATGTGGGGCACTTCCGAACTCACCTATATCCTATATTCGGCGTATTGTATGGGTATGTGGGGCATTTCCGAACACAAGTACATCCTATATTCGGCATATTGGATCGTTATGTGGGGCATTTCCGAAAACAACTACATCCTATATTCGGAGTATTGTGTGGTTATGTGGGGCACTTCCGAAAACAACTACATCCTATATTCGGAGTATTGTGTGGTTATGTGGGGCATTTCCGAGCACAACTACATCCTATATTCCGCATATTGGATGGTTATGTGGGGCATTTCCGAACACAACTACATACTCTATTCGGCATATTGTATGTTTATGTGGAACACCTCCGAACATAACTTCATCCTATATTCGGCATAATGGATGGTTATGTGGGGCATTTCCGAGCACAACTACATCCTATATTCCGCATATTGGATGGTTATGTGGGGCATTTCCGATGGTTATGTGGGGCACTTCCGTACACAACTACATCCTATATTTGGCATATTGTATGTTATGTGGGGCCCTTCCGAACACAACTACAGCCTATATTCGGCCTATTGTATGGTTATGTGGGGCTCTTCCGAACACAACTACGTCCTATATTCGGCATATTGTATTGTTATGTGGGGCATTTCCGAAAACAACTACATCCTATATTCGGCAAATTGTATGGTTATGTGGAACACTTCCGAACACAACTACCTCCTATATTTGGCATATTGTATGTTATGTGGGGCCCTTCCGAACACAACTACATCCTAAATTCGGCGTATTGTATGGTTATATGGGGCATTTCCGAACTTAACTACATCCTATATTCGGCAAATTGTAAGGTTATGTGGGGCACTTCCGAACTCACCTATATCCTATATTCGGCGTATTGTATGGTTATATGGGGCATTTCCGAACTTAACTACATCCTATATTCGGCATAGTGTATGGTTATGTGGTGCACTTCCGAACACAACTACAGCCTATATTCGGCATATTGTATTGTTATGTGGGGCATTTCCGAAAACAACTACATCCTATATTCGGCATATTGCATGGTTATGTGGAACACCTCCGCACACAACTACAGCCTATATTCGGCATATTGCATGGTTATGTGGAACACCTCCGCACACAACTACAGCCTATATTCGGCCTATTGTATGGTTATGTGGGGCACTTCCGAACACCACTACATCCTATATTCGGCATATTGCATGGTTATGTGGAACACCTCCTATATTCGGCATATTGTATGTTATCTAGGGCACTTCCGAACACATCTACATCCTATATTCGGCATAATGGATGGTTATGTGGAACAGCTCCGAACACAACTACATCCTATTGGCACTTCCTATCATAATTACATCCTTTATTCGGCAAATTGTATGTTATGTGGGGCACTTTCGAACACAACTACATCCTATCTTCGGCATATTGTATGGTTATATGGAACACCTCCGAACATAACTAAATCCTATATTCGGCATATTGTATTGTTATGTGGGGCATTTCCGAACGCAACTACATCCTATATTCGGCAAATTGTATGGTTCTGTGGGGCACTTCCGAACACATCTACATCCTATATTCGGCATATTGGATCGTTATGTGGGGCATTTCCGAAAACAACTACATCCTATATTCGGCGTATTGTATGGTTATGTGGAACACCTCCGAACATAACTACATCCTATATTCGGCATATTGTATGATTATGTGGGGCACTTCCGAACACAACTACATCCTATATTCGGCATAATGTATCGTTATGTGGAACTCCTCCGAACACAACTACATCCTATATTCGGCAAATTGTATGGTTATGTGGAACACCTCCGAACACAACTACAGCCTATATTCGGCATATTGTATGGTTATGTGGAACACTTCCGAACACAACTACATCCTATATTCGGCGTATTGTATGGTTATGTGGAACACCTCCGAACATAACTACATCCTATATTCGGCATATTGTATGGTTATGTGGAACACCTCCGAACACAACTACAGCCTATATTCGGCATATTGTATGGTTATGTGGAACCCCTCCGAACATAACTACATCCTATATTCGGCATATTGTATGGTTATCTGGCGCATTTCCGAACACAACTACATCCTATATTCGGCGTATTGTATGGTTATGTGGAACACCTCCGAACATAACTACATCCTATGGTTATGTGGGGCACTTCCGAACACAACTACATCCTATATTCGGCATAATGTATGGTTATCTGGAACTCCTCCGAACACAACTACATCCTATATTCGGCGTATTGTATGGTTATGTGGGGCACTTCCGAACACAACTACAGCCTATGTTCTCTGTTCTGTAAGGTATCTGAAGATATGGTGTGGTCGGATGGATGGCCGTTGGTATTTACTAAATGGGCAGATGGGCAACCGAGCCTAGAACCACAGAAGAAATGTACAGTATCACAAAACAGCCACTGGAAGATTTCACCATGTGATTTAAAAATGCCATTCTTATGTGAAAAAAGCCTTGGTATGTTGACATATGAGATAGAGTAAAATATTTCTTTTATCGAATACGTAATGTATTATAGAAAGCTGAAAACAATTTACATTATTTGATCTGTCAAGATATTTTTATACTCAGTATAACGACCTTGGTATGCTTCAAATAATAAACAATAAATTTCGATTCATTGATGGTATTTGAAAACAACTATCGTTTTCCGTTGTGACATATATGTTTGCAGATTTAACGGTATGTAGACCGTACTGGTCTATAATAGATGTGTGATTTCAAATGAATGGACGGTACTGCAATATAAAAGATTATGGTTTCAAATGAATGGACGGTCCTGCCATATAAAAGATTGTGATTTCAAATGAATGGAAAGTACTGGTTTATAACAGATGTGTGATTTCAAATGCATGGACGGTACTGCAATATAATGGATTTGGATTTCAAATGAATGGACGGTACAACACTATAATAAATTGTGATTTTAAATTAATGGACGGTACTACACTATAATAGATGTGTGATTTTAAATGAATGGACGGTACAACACTATAACAGATTGTGATTTTAAATTAATGGACGGTTCTACACTATAATAGATTGTGATTTTAAATGAATGGACGGTACAACACTATAATAAATTGTGATTTTAAATGAATGGACGGTACAACACAATAATAGATGTGTGATTTCAAATGAATGGATGTTACTGGTCTATGATAGATTGTGATTTCAAATGAATGGACGGTACCCGCTACATAATAGATGTGTGATTTCAAATGAATGGACGGTACCGCTTTATATTAGTTGTGTGATTTCAAATGAATGGACGGTCCTGCTCTATAATAGATCGTGATTTCAAATGAATGGAAATAACTGTTTATTTTCTACGTAATGTGTTTACCAACTATTGATACAGCTGCTGATAGTTCTACCGCTGGCTTTGGCCTTTGGTACAGTTAGTTGTTTTTAGCTCTAATAACAATAATGAAGATACGTTGCGGCGGTATTGTTTATGGAAGTGGTAGTACTGCTTCTTTGTTTTTGTATTTTGTATTGTTTTACGACCAATCGACGATTTGTGACTTTTTGTTCAAAATGTAACTTTCACACAAATGAGTTTAAACTAAGAGGTTAAACATATAAGATGATTTGAAAAGGAAACATCATTGTCAAATAAGTTAGTTGTAAGACATTATATCATTCCATACAAATACATTCAAATATAATTCACCAAATATTTATTACCAAGAAATTGTATCAAACAATTATTCATAGCGGTGTCATTTTAGAATTTTTCACCTTTTTTTAAATTCGGTGCATTCTATCATAAAATATTTGATTGTTAATGCTTTGTTACAAACATGGCAATACGATTAAATTCCATTTCATTTCATGTAAGCAGTGCTACTTTTACTGTTGCTGTTACTACCTTGTCATGAACACATCGTTCATTATAGCCATACTTTACACCTATGCATATGTATATACATGTAACGGCAGTATCAATAATTTCTTTATAAGCTGTCCTAGAGTCAGCCAAGGGATGTGACCAGAATATTTTTTAATATCTTTTGTGTTATTTTAATATTTGTCTCATATGTGTATTAATTCCAGTTTTGCCTCCCACAACGCCACTTCCTGGAATTTGCCCTACTGATGCAATGCATTTACATATGCATATGTGCTACTTGGTTGACCTGGAAACTCCGTTGTCATGGATGTTAGCCAGAGATGCGTGTGTGGAGAAAGGAATGAATCTGGTTAGTTTTGAAAACCTTGATGAGCTGAATTACGTAAGGAGTCTGGTAGCAGAACAGTCTTCAGGGCCTGGTCAAAACACATGGATAGGGTATAGCAGATTACCAGTAGACGGAAAGCGACGACGAAGAGAATCTGGTGAGTGCTTGATATACTGAAGACCTCGTAAGTCTGGTTACTCCACGTCTAGTTTTCTAAATAACTACAGATGTTTAACACAGCCAAATAGGCACCTTTATCATTCTTTTAAATCGTCCAATATGCCTATCATATCTTACTTAAGATATGCATTAAACTACAGTTTGAGTAAAAATTGGGACACACTTATCTTGCATGCATTCTTGATGAGTGCACTTTGCTATGTTTACGTAAAAAACCAGGTGAGGACTTGACGACACATTTGATGAAAGTCCCTCTAAATATCGTTTGACTATCCGAGACGATCTCGCCTCCGGTGACCAAGACCAACTTATGGAAATAATAATTATTTCATACGCCTAGTAAGTTAATTGCTTCACGGCTAGTTATATCGGTCCTGACAACAGTCGTTTTAAATGATCGAGGAAGGTGGTGGGGTGACGGGATGATTTCAAATGATTTTTAAACAAAATACATCATTTCACTAACGAACTTTTGTCTCTCTTTCATAAATTCCATTTAGTTATGTGGTTTCCCGAACCAATTCACATGAACGTTTTCCAACGATTGCTCATTTGGCTGAAGCGACATTTTTTAGAAAAACATTGACGAAACAGTGGTTTGATTTTCGAATAAGCTATAACTCAGGCGATTCTACATAGAGATAATGTGAACTCGAGGGATTATAATTCGAGAGCACTGAAAGGCGAGTCTTGATGATGCTTGGTTTGACAAATCGGTGTTAATTATGACGGGATTTTAGTCTCGTAATGTTTTTTGTTTCATAGAACATTCACGAATATTAAATATGAAAAAAGTTTCATTTGTATGTCTTTTGAAGAACATTACGTGTCGTACATTTGTCATTAGAAAGATATCTGTAGCCGTAGTCCGTGTTATTTCAAGCAGTGCCAAACGTCACAATAGCAAATAACGTTTGCCGTAAACAAAACCACGAAGTCGATCGAGCGATTAGTTCAAAGCCTCAGCCAGTGTTATGTGAAGCGCAATGTCAAGCGTCATAATGTTGACTTTTGGCTGGGATGCAACGCACATTTAAAAGATATGCATACTATATTTGTTCAAGCATAAGAATACCCACGGATGCATCTAATCTTGATTTGGTCAACTTTTAAAGACGTCACCACGTTTTACTTTATAATATAAACCTTTCAGTTATTGTGTTTTACAGAATACTATGGGTATGATGACTTCGACCACCTTCAAAATGAGTATGATTCCATTGAAGACCTCCAAAGTCCAGATCAAGGAGTTGAGTTTCGTTGGGAGGACGGGACACCTAAGGGATTCGAGAACTGGAATGATAATGAACCTTCGTCAGCCTGGAATAACCAAGACGAGCAGTGCGTTGAAATGTACACGTCTGGAAGATGGAATGACCTCAACTGTAAGACACACAATCGGGCTTATGTCTGTAAAGGCCCCTCACGTAAGTTTTCGTTTGAGGATACAGTCGGACATGTTCATTAAGGTTCAACAATCCCAGGAAAGGATGGTATGTTCACCCGTTATTTCAACTTTCTGATTAGTCATGTTTTAAATATCAAATTTTAGGATATATTGAACGTGTACTTAATTGTTTTTATGGTATATAGCAAAGTTAACGTAGTCCTAATACATTAGTAATGCTAATATCTTTTTATGAAAATTGTTCACCGAAATTACAACATTTCAATCTCTATTTCGACCAAATTGAAAGGTACGAAATGACATTTGATCTTAATGTCATTTATGTACCTAGGTCATGCGGGACTGCAGTTTTATTTTACTGTCTGTGGAGAACTATACCATAGTCATAAATAAAGACAAATATGGCCATGCATAACCACTTAAATCATTGCAAACGTCGCCGGCAATATATTTTAACAGATGGTGAACAAGAAAACGAGTGCTAGGTGACTTAAGATTGATAATTGAATCAGACAAGATATGCTATGAAGCATATAGCAAGTCTGATTTTCTATAACGACGCTAACTATCAATTTCACACGGCCCTTTTTGGGATTGCACATATTTACCCCAGTAAAAGATGTTAGCTTAAAATTTTACCATGCTACTTTTAGTTTCTGAAAGCCACAACCATACTGATTTAAAGCATGTATGCCTCTCGACATATAGAAAAGGATAAGTTAAACTCTGAATAGACTAGGTATGTAAATTAACTTAAGTAAGTATTTCATATTCCTTCCAACGGGGTCTTTAAAAACATTGACTGGCTTTTAAGCCGGTGAACTATTATTTTAATGCATGCTTGTCGGCGAAGTTAACTTTGCTATGAATCCGAATTACATATCTGAATTCCGATGCTAAATTGATATCTTTATATATGACTTACTAGAAGATTGAACTTTTGAGTGAATACACTATTTGTCAGGCGGATAGTTGAACCTTAATTAAAGAAACCCAGAAATAGATTTTTTACTATCATAGGAAAGAGGTGTTTGTACAAAGGCCCTTTATTGAAAATTAATTGATGTGCACTCGTTATTGTCTATAATCTCGAATATCTGTATTCAGGATTACGTTTGTATACATGTGCATAAAGGATGCACTGGACACACCGTATTCAAGAGATAACAGGGCATAATAAGTCAGCGAACCAAGCATATACCAATGGTAGTTTATATTAGATCAGAAAAAAACGACTTAAAAAACCCCTATGTAATTTAAGAGTTCAAACTAATGTTGTAGAAAAAAGTTTTAAAGGAAACATGTATTTAGTACGTATAGATGCACGGGCTTGTTTTCAATCTAAACAAATATATATTTAAAATATATTTATTAGAAATACTGACGACACCAGCACAGCCAGAAACACGGGAAACAACAACAGAAGAACCAGAGACGACGGAAAGTGTAATGGGGTACACTGAACAATCACGGAAAAGCTCAACGGAAGTATCAACTTCTTCTGAAAATAACCCGATGCATCACATTCCTAGGAGAACACATCCGCTACCGCATAAAGGTACGTTCGTCTTGTACCATAGATTAACAATTAACCTGTAGTATATAATTTTAATAGCGATCCATGTTCTGATAAATGTATAATCAATAGACGACCATGTCGAGGATATTGCAGTGTTTATCAGTGAAGCATTAAAACATGTTTATGAAGGCCGAGTTGGTGTACCAGTAGGAGCTACAGATATTGCTCGGCGAGGCGATTTGGAATCCTTAGTCGTGGTTTCGAGAGCCGCACGGGGCATAAGTCATAAACTGCCTTCCTTCGTCACTTTGTTTCTATGCGATTTATCCAATTAACAAACACAATTTCTCCCTCAACCAGGAGTTGGTAAACATTAACAACCTGGACGTGATTTCATTGGTCAATTTATTACGTATGACGTCACGTAACAATGCTTTGCGACGTCATCTTCCATTGTGACATCGTGATTCACGGCAATTGTTTCCCCCCATCGGAAACCGTCAAAGTGTACAAGGGATACACATGGCTTTCCAGATAAAATATGAACGTTGTGGGAGAAAAAGGACCCCAAACTCGTGATTGTAGGTTATCATGTTTATCTAACTCTCTTTAGTTAATTTTCAAATTGTAAAAAGACACTCGGTAAACCTTGTGCCTTTATACAATTTAAACATGAACTAACTCGAGTTAGATAAACATGATAACCAACCATCACTCGTTGGGAAACCTCCAGATCCGAATTTGTATGCTATGGACTACCGGTCGAAAGTGTACCATTGTAATACTGTATGTAATAGTATTCCTGAGTTTAATCCGAATTAAACCAATGTATTTATCTTCATAAATCCACCCAGGTACTCTTACTATTAAAAGACGATTTGTCAATGAGATCATGTCGAGAATATCGTGCTATTGGCAGTTGAAACATCAAAACTTTCTTTGTAAGAAGGCCAAGGCGGTGTAGTAGTAGGAGCTGTACATATTTCTAGGCTAGGCCATTTTGTTGGTCTTGAGATCGAGGCCTGTACGAGACATGAGTCATAAAATTGTCTTCCTTCGTCACTAGTGTTTTATTTGGTTAATCAAATTAATGACACAGTGCATCATGTAGACTTGGGTTTGTTGTTTTCAAGGTTTAAGTTGTGAAAGATTGTAGAAATTGTACGTGTCTAATATGTTATATTATTTGCACGATTCGTATCAATGGAAATATTTGTATCGCAATCGTGATACTCGTGTCATCAATAAACGGTTTATCACTATGTTAAAACTATCGGGCTGTTTACCGCTCCTACATCAAAAACGTCCTGTTTCCTTTTGGGGTTTCTGTTGCCCTTTTATTAATAGCATTGATCAAATGAGATTCGGAAGAAATCCACTACAAAGATTTTCTTTCCAATTTTATGACAAGATCCAAACAACGGTGCAAAATGGTATTCTGTATTTCATTTTATCTAGACAAATAATTATAGAAGTGATGAAAGATAGAATATCGAACGGATTCGCATTTATGTTTCTTGGCGATAAATGTGTTCACGAAATACGGTACAATATCCTTTATCCTAAGGAAATTATTCAAACTAGGGGAATGTTGATTGGTTGGTTGTAAAGCGTTTAACGTCCTATTAACTGCCTACATGTAGGTCTTTGTACTCATTCACCCCATAAGACACTTTTGAACTCTTCCAGTTCAAAGGTTGGACTAGTTCATTATGAAATTTCAGGGGGGAATGAGTTAAGGACGTGCCTCAATGTATGATGTGTATGCGTACATGCGTGTAGTTGGTACATTTGCCTCCTTGTGATAGCGCGGATCTGATGCCGATTTTATGTTGGAATGTAAAAGAAGAGGAAATTTCAAAATATTGTTTCATTTTTATTTCAGAAACCAAAACTGGTCTGTCAGCAGGAGAAATAATCGGCATTGTAATTGGAATTATCGGTTTAATACTGATTGGCGTAGCCGCTTACTTCACCACTAAACAGCTGATGAGCGCCAGTTATAATACGAAAGGCTGGGCTTTTACCAACGCCCTCTATCGGCGGTCGGCGGACAGTGTGTCAATGACGGACGATAACTCTCCCTCGGGATCAACAATCAAACTATGCACGCTAAAGAAATGATGAGAAATATTCGCATCAAAAACATTAAGTATGCTAAGACATTGTATAACGTGATTATGTTTAATGTGACGTAACATTGCATTCTGCGAGGTAATTGTGAGTATTGATTTGAAGTATTTCTTGAATTAAAAATATAAGTACATTCAGAAAAATCCCAGCGCATTGTGAAAGTCCGTAAAATAGATTACAAGAAAAAGTAGTTTTGCTTCCTTAATTCGCGGTAGCAATGTTCTTCTTTGATTCTGTCTGGCCGTGTCCCACATCAGTCAACTTTACCATTCTTAAAATTGCTCACCTACCTGAAAACAGTTTTCAATGTGACGACAGAGTGCCTTTTATGATGCATAACTCTGCATGTATCGTATCTGTTTAAGCGGTGTCTTTAAATCACACTGCTTTATTGTAGGAGCGTATTCCAGATTTAGCCTCATTTAAACAATGAATGGTAGCCATTAGTAACAATTTAATACCATTCAATAGTGATTAAATTGTTCAAGTTTTGTCAGATAATGCCGAAATTTTGCACGTGCATTGTTCTTTTAATACATTTGCCAAGGCGCAAAACTAGTTGATTGTCCGTTCGTATTGGTGTGATTGCAAAATTTATTGAATGAACCTCGTAACACTGTTGATTTGTAAAACTCAGTCAGTACGACTAGAAGGTAAAATATGCCCACTGTTAGCAAAACATGTTTAGTCTACAAAAGTTCTGATCCCAAAATGACAAGAACATAGAACATTTCTCTATCTATGAAGGCCACCCATGCAGTTTTCACAGACAAGCCGTGTCATTGTATAATGTTCATAATTAGGAAGAACATGTTTTAAATAGTACCCACTAGCTAATGATGTATGTTTATTACATCTTTAATATTAGGTAATATTCTAAAAGATGTAAGAAGAATGACGAATAAAAGGAAAGTTAAAACAAAACAAATACAATTGAGGTGAATAAGGTTGTAGTAAGACTATACTCATTTTCGAAATATTACTATTGAATATCGAATACTCCTGGCAGTGTATTGCATGCAATTCACCCTTATACAGTGGATATATTTCTTGATCATTTGATAATGTGGTTGTACAAAATGTATTACTAGTTCTTTAAACCCACCTATTCAGATGCTGTAAATTTGTGCTTTTTGTGTGTGAATGTAAGTGAAAGTGTTGGGAAAACACGCCGATTTAAAAAAAAATAAACAACAGAAATGTACTTGATGTTCCGAGTTTTTTAGCCTCGCAAAACAAAACAGTACAAAGCTTAATGACGCTGCATATTTTTTTTCATATTTTTTTTGCACACATTAAATATCAGAATTTCGACGGATGAATGATATTTTATGATTTGAAATACATATGAACAAGTATTTATAAAGCGCCATGTTTCAAAAATTACTTCAGGCACATACTTGCAGCACTATATGTACACTAGTTGTTATAAGTAACACGTTTACATTTGTATATATATTTATGCTTGGCACATAAAAATACACATATTTGCTTTTACGTCAGCATTTGCAAAATGTCAACATGAAAGCAGCTAAAATACAGACGTAATACAGGTTATATTAGTCGCCTATTGAGATGTTCCCCCCGATTCTGCATGAGCAAGGTACATGCCTTGCCTTCAAGCTTGCTAAATTACTTTTCCGTACATATTTTAGGTAGAATAGGAACCCCTGTTGGTGGTAATTGATATAAAAGAATAAGCGTGTACTTATTGGATTGTGATTTGAACTCAATATATTTTCCTACGTGTATTGGAGGAATTACAAAACATGGATAGATGGGTTTACGGAACATTGTTATTGGGTTAGGTGAACCTTTATGGACCTGTTGATGGACGAAAGCTCTTGGCAACACATGACAGACTTTTAGAAGCCGTGAAATATAGAAAAAGTGTGTCTGCTTCTAATACCTCCATGTGTGTTGTGTATGCCTGCAAAGAATGGACCGACGACTGAGCCTTGGGGTACACCAGCTTTGACCTGTTTAAAAGTGTTGAATAAAACCCCTCTGTCCACGATAGTTGGTCCGGTAAAATAACGAGCTGTGTTGGCTTTTCGGCATTATTGTACCTCTTATGAAAATCCCGAATCTGATTGGTCGAGACAAATTGTTCATTTCACACTGTCACACTCGCTTTAATCTAGAGTCAATTTAAGGGCTTTGTCCAACGCGCTAGCAAGGAGTGACGGATAAGGACTCTAAACGGATTGACTTTCGGTATAATAAAATAAATACCTTACTTCATTCATTAGAGTTTGACAGTGTCTAGGGTCACCCTTTGGATTTTACTTTCATCCTCGGCTTCAAAAGGAAGTATTTTATATAATATTCCTTTTTTTCGCTGCAATGTCACTATATAAACAAAGTAAAAATCGATTCGGTTCATCAGACTACGAACCTAAATAAGTCGTAATACAATTGTGACCAAAAAGTTAACAAATAATACGGAAGTCACGTTTGACTCTCGTTTGGTTTTTGAGGCGAGAAGTTGACTTTTCCACAATGAAACCAAAGTTACATTATTTTATTCTATCGAAATTACCATGCTCTATTACTTTAATGAGGAAATTAAATGATATTCTTTAAATGAAATGTCGCTTTTTATTTCAATATCACTCGACTCAAATAACACGACCAGAGAAAAATCAGTATTTCAAGCTTCACATTGAGGTCGTTCATCAGTACCATGCCTACTCTTAGTTCCTTTGCGACCGCAACATACAAAACATCTCTTCAATATCAACAAATAACAGGACATGATTTCTACTATGACCGCCTTGAAACACCGATAAAGTCTGAAGTTTATAGCATTTTTACAGATTTATGACTTTTTTAAGATATTATCAAAGTTGCTCGATCGATGGTGATGGGAACTCGTCCCTACCAGATACGTTTCTATAGGAGGAACATTAATATGTTTAAACGATATATTGCACAACAGCTGACAAACATAGTTTAAAGAAAAAAGGCGCATTTCATTAGGGTCATTACAGTAAGATTTCTTCACAAACTGAGTGTGCTGATATTGTATAGTGTATCGTAAGAGGCGACTAATGTGGAGTCCCATGCAGAATCGGTTTTTTTTCTACTATGTCTTCTACTTAGAATTTTATCTGCTGCCCCCATTTTAACAGTTGGTATATTTTTCGTTTCCTTTCTTTCCTTTCGTCTTTCTTTTCAATCTATTTTCTGGTTTCACGGATAGGTCAGCCGTGTATCTCGTCCTTTTTATCACATAATCAAGATTTGTGGCATTTTTTCGTGTAAAACGACAGTTTTTGTCCAACATTTAAATGTAAAAAGCCGCCATTTTTATTCCAGTGCGTTAGTCTGTGACGTCATGTATTTGTCCTAGACGTGACGTCACAATTGGAACAATTGCAATTTACAACCAATTACAGGGCTGAAAGGTCATATAACAAGGGTTGATACGCAAAATAATATGACATTGGTATATTTACTGGTTAATCTAGTACATTCTGTGATAAAAATATATATGCAAGAATAATAGAAATATCTTTATTTCAAAACAGAGATATCTCTAAATTTCAATTAAATAGTGCTATCGTTTATTCATAAATATATCTCTTATACATGCTAAAAGTGATATCTTTAAATGAATTAACTGTGAATGTAGCAAAAATACTTATATATCAATTAGAGATATCTTAATTTGAAATCATATTTCTTGAAGGATTGAACTCCACAAATGTTATAGAGGTGTCTTTAAATCAATAAGAGACATATTTGAATAAAAAAACATGCATATTTTAATGTAAAAGAAATATCTCTAATTATTTTATTGGATATGCTTAATTAATAAAGATATCTCTTTTAGGTTTTAGATATTAGGTTTTAAATGTTAAGTTAGCTTGTCAATAGGTCATGAAATAGAACATGATCATGTTTCACTAAAGATTATAGTGAGTTATTGACTGCCATTTACATTATTATAAATTGCCATCAAACTAGGGCTCTATTTCACCTTTAAGGCAATTTTAGTTAAACATGAATATAAGACTCTTTCATGTCCAGGGGTGTAGGATAGGGAAATTCCACCCGAGCGGTTTTCAAATTTGGTAGGACCCGAGGCTTTGCCGAGAGTTTTACCAAATTTGAAAATCCAGAGGGTTTAACATGCATTTGGACCATGTTGAAAATATTTATTATCCCCTTGAGGTTTTTTGGACGAAAACAAATTCATCAGTGTTTGCACAGAAAAAATAATCTCATCTTTCCAATGTGAACGATAAATATATCGTTAAGATTTTTGATTTCATCACGTTGCCTTTTCCGCATTGCGGCACCGGCGTATTCCAAATTCATAACCTCACATCATTTTTGAGCCATTGTGACGTCACGTCACGTGAAATTGGATGTAAGATAAAAATGCCCCACATCCCCTTCTTACCTTGGACAGCTCTATCTTACACGCACGGTAATGAGAGGAATCAGTTTTACCAAAAGTTATTCGTAAATGAATTTGTGCATTCTTAACGCGTTTCTGGCAATATACAAGCGACCTTATGGAGAGACTACGGTAACTTGTTACCGTCAACAATATATATATATACAAGCATCAGACGGGGATGCTACACTATCTGTTACAGTGAAAATATATACATGCGATCGTATGGAGAGGCTACAGTATCTGTTATAGTCAAAATATATACAAGCCATCGTATGGAGAGGCTACAGTATCTGTTACAGTCAAAATATATACAAGCGATCGTATGGAGAGGCTACAGTTTCTTTTATAGTCAAAATATATACAAGCCATCGTATGCAGAGGCTACAGTATCTGTTACAGGCAAAATATATACCAGCGATCTTATGGATAAACTACAGTATCTGTTACAGTCAAAATATATACAAGCGATCGTATGGAGAGGCTACAGTATCTGTTATAGTCAAAATATATACAAGCAATCGTATGGCGAGTATACAGTAACTTGTAACAGACAACAATATACAGGCGACCTATTGGAGAGTTTACGGAAACTGATTCAATTAAACAACTTACAAGCAATCTTATGGAGAGTATACAGTAGCTTGTTACAGTCAAAAATGTATGAGTCATTTTCTGGAGTCTACGGTCAACAACACAAGCGACCTTATGTAAAGTATATACGGTAACTCATTACAGTCAAAATATATACAAGCGACTGTATGGAGAGTCTACGGTAACTTGTTACAGTCAAAATATCAACAAGCGACTTTATGGAGAGGCTACGGTAACTTGTTACTGTCAACAATATACAAGCGACCTTATGGAGAGGCTACGGTAACTTGTTACTGTCAAAATATATACGGGCGACCTTATGGGAAGGCTACGGTAACTTGTTACAGTCAACAATATACAAGCGGCCTTATGGAGAGGCTACGGTAACTTGTTAATCAACAATAAACAGGCGACCTTATGGAGAGGCTACGGTAACTGTTACTGTCAAAATATAAACAAGCGAACTTATGGGGAGGCTACGGTAACTTGTTATAGTCAACAATATACAAGCGACCTTATGGAGAGGCTACGGTAACTTGTTAATGTCAAAATGTCAACATGCGACTTTATGGAGAGTCTACGGTAACTTGTTACTGTCAACAATATACAAGCAACCTAATGGGAAGGCTACGGTAACTTGTTACTGTCAACAATATACAAGCGACCTTATGGGTCTACGGTAACTTGTTACTGTCAACAATATACAAGCGACATTATGGAGAGGCTACGGTAACTTGTTACTGTCAACAATATACAAGCGACCTTATGGGTCTACGGTAACTTGTTACTGTCAACAATATACAAGCGACCTTATGGAGAGGCTACGGTAACTTGTTACTGTCAACAATATAAGCAAGCGACCTTATGGAGAGTCTACGGTAACTTGTTACAGTCAAAATATAAACAAGCGACCTTATGGAGAGTCTACGGTAACTTGTTACAGTCCACAATATTCAAGCGACCTTATGGAGAGGCTACGGTAACTTGTTAATGTCAAAATGTCAACATGCGACTTTATGGAGAGTCTACGGTAACTTGTTACAGTCAAATTATATACAAGCGACCATAGTCAACAATATACAAGCGACCTTATGGAGAGGCTATGGTAACTTGTTACTGTCAACAATATAAGCAAGCGACCTTATGGAGAGTCGACGGTAACTTGTTACAGTCAAAATATAAACAAGCGACCTTATGGAGAG